ATGCGGGTCCCTGCCAGACTAGCGGCGAGCCTTGCCGAGGTCTTTGGGTTGGGCGTGTGTCACTCGTGTCGCAGCTCGCTATACTACCATCGCTACACAAACAACGCGCCCCGGATCTTGATCTCTGCTTATGCTCCTTAGCCGAATGCATCAGTCCGCGATGTGGGGAACAACCATGCGAGGCATGGGCCAAGTTTCGAATACGCATCAAAGTCTTGGGTTCTTGGTCCGCCTGCTGTGGATGAAAGGGTTGTCGATGTACTCGCTGTAGACGCTCCCCCCCTCTCTCGTGTTGAAGTCCAATCATCTGTTGTGTCGTTGCGTCGATCAAGTTTCTGGCAGTCAGCACAACTTTGCTAGCCTCCCATCCTTTCATCGCCATCCTCCCTCCTCCCTCCAACCCATCCATCACACCCCATCTGTTCAGCAAGACCATCTCCATCCTAAACCCCTCTCTCTCTCGATCAAGCACAATGTCAGCCAACGGTCACGCGATGACCGGCGCCGCGACTGGCACCACCGCCACCGCCGCTCCCATCAACACCCACGGTGATGCCCACAACCACGGCAACGGCAACGGTCACCACAGCAGCTTCGACCACGAAAAGTCGGCCATGGCTCACCAGGCGCCCACGTACAACGGCGGTGGTGGACACGCAGCCCACCTGAGCCGCACCTTGACTCCTGGAGGACACTTTGCCGACGACGATCTGATCGCCATCGCCAACAGTCACAGGAGGATCGCTAATCCTCTTCCTCTTGGTGGTAGGTTGTCTTTCTTTCCCGGATTTGCTTGAGAGAATGGGAGTTCATGGATGTACTGAAATAATCTTCTTTCCTCTTTCCTGCACACACAGTCTTTGGTTTCTCGACAACCACCCTTCTGCTGTCTCTGTACAACATTCAGATTCAGGGAATCGCCATTCCGAACGCTGTGCTCGGCTTCGCTCTCTCCTACGGTGGTCTGGCCCAGTTCCTGGCTGGTCTGTGGGAGTTTGCGACGGGAAACACCTTTGGTGCCACCGTGTTCTGCTCGTTCGGCATGTTCTGGTGGGGCTACTCGGTCCTTTTGATCCCCTTCTTCGGTTTCATGGGGTCGTACGCTGGTCAACCGGGAATCTACGCCACCGGCTCGCCTTATGCGGGAGAGGCTGATGCTGCCATCGGCTTGTACCTTTGGATTTGGTTCGGTATCACCACCATCTACCTCGTAAGTTTTTCCGCTTTCCCCACCAAAAAATCAAAAAACCACGTTGACACCGGGATGCGAGGTACTGACAACTTCGTTTTCTGTTGTTTTAGATCGCTTCCACTCGAGGTTCCGTCTCGCTCTTCGTGCTGATCTTCCTGCTTTGGGTCACGTTCATCTTCCTCGGTGCCCACGCTTACACGGGCAACGCTCACCTTCAAACCGCAGGTGGTGCCTTCGGTATCGCCACCGGCTTCGCCGGTTTCTACCTCGGCACAGCCAGCTTCCTCAGCCCTTACAACTCCTTCTTCACCCTCCCCGTCATTCCCCTCGGCAAGAAGGAGTAAAGAGGAGAGGAGGAAGGGGGAGGCTGCAACTGTCGTATGGCGAAGACGAATGGTTGTTAGCAGAGGTAGTGACTAACTTGAAGGACTCGTGTAATAGCTTTTTGTGCAAGATTCGATTGCCCGAGGTTGAATCGGAATGCGAACCGAGTACGTTTTTGTGACTCTGTGTGCGAAAGGTTACAGGTGAGAAACGTCATTCGCAGCAGAGAAGAGGGCTTTCGCGGTTTAGGTGATACCAATGAGACTCGGCGATGCATTGCAATGAAGGTGATACAAAAACAGTTCTTGATGATGACGATGATAATGATGACGATGCTATGTGCGTTCTGTTACTTCCCCCTCGACTTGTCGTCGCTTCAAATAACCGTATTGGACAACTCGATATGCCTCGGCAACTTGACAAACGTATCACATCCATGACCATACAGCGAAACCAAATCCAACGCCGAGCCGTTCTTCCAGTACTCTGCATAGATCCTCGCCATGGGCAAGCCGTACCCCAACCCTGCCAACGTACCCAGTCCGCTGGCCAGTCCCATCTTGCCCATCTCTGCCAACGCATCGCCTCCCGTCCCGCCTACGGCCTGCATCGCGTACGGTCCACCGCCGGACTCCTCTGCATCCTCCAACTCACTCCCACCCCCCGCCGTCGTAAACGCATAGCTGAAAACATGCGGTAGGTTCAACGGCGATATCCCGGCGCCCTGATCGCGGATCCTCAGCGAAACGTGGTTGGCCGACTGTGCGATCGTCACGATCACCGGCGGCATCTTGCCCGTGGATTGCGATTTGAAAAAGTTCTCCGTAGTGGCGCGGTAGGAGTTCTTGAGGAGTTCGGTCATGACGTACTCGAGGTGGACGGGGACGCCGGTGTAGGTGACGTCGAGGTCGCCTTCGAGGATGAGTTCGGGTGCTGCGCCGAGCGTTCCTTCGCAGAGATCGCGGACGAACGCGGCGCACATTCGGGTCATGCGTGCGGGCGAGAGTTGGGTTTCGATGATCCCGACGGCGGTGGGACTGCCGTAGTCGTGATGCCCTTGACTGCTCGTCCCCTCCGGCGGAAGGTCCGGATCGAGGTGGTGGTGGGAGTGATCTTCGAAGCTATCCTCTTTCTTGCTCGTTTCGCTTCGAAGCTGTGTCGATTCGTTCGAGGTCGCGGAAAGCGCCAGATGCTGCTCAGCAATCATGCGGATCGCGATCCTCGAATGAATCGCCGCATCCAAAAACGCCGAAATCTGCCGAGCATCCATGTACTTTCTCGCCTCCTGAAAGCCCCTCGCCAGCGTCGGAATGTTCTGCGCGTGAGCGGAGACGAGATCCTCGATGACAGCCGTAAACCTCTGGTTGTCCTCCTGCGTCTGGATCTGACCGAACTTGACCAGCGTTTCGAAACTGGATGCGTACAATCGGGCGATCCTCGAGATGAACGGATTGCTGCCTACGATGAAGGGCAGCGCGCGGAATCCGCCTACTCTGCGGGCTAGACGGATGGGCAGCTCTCGATGCGTGTGTTGGGCGGAGAGGAGGAGCTGTTCGGGAGTGAGAGCCTGGCCTGGCTTTCCACCTTGTGCCATGAGCTGGCGGAGGGTGAGCGGGGCAGGTTGGAGCGAGAGGTAGTGGGTGAGGAGGTCAGGGGATGCGCCGAATGTGGAGAAAGGAGAGGGTTCGAAGGAGATGGCGCCGCCGACGGCAGCACCGGTGCCGAACGGTTCTGGAGGTGGATAGTAGCTTTTATCGCGGGTATTTGATGTCGAGGTGAGGGTTCGAAGGTGTGCCTTGGGGAAATGGGTGAGCGCTCTCCGAAGCAAATGCGGCCCGGAGCGAGAGGCAATCATGGTGAATGCGGCACCACCTAGCGGGTAGGAGATTGCGCTGCTATTGCGACTGATGCTTCTGCTGCCAATGACGTCGATAGCAGCGTCGAACGAGAAGATGTCAAGGAGGAGGAGGAGTGATGCCATGTGATTGACAGGCCAATGAATGGTACGTGCGCCTTCTCGTGCGACTCATTTCCAAAAAAACAGGCGCGTCTCGAATATTGGAGCCTCAATTAGCGCCACGCGTAAATTCCTCTTCCAAATCTCGACAAATTGCAATTGAAGCGACAATTGCGTGTCTCTCGCTCTGTCTGCAAGTGTTGGTTTCCAACGTCTTGGTCTGTGTGTCACGTACACTGTCCATCTCTTCTTCCACCGTCACTTCCTCACCTCGCTGCTGTAGCGACTTCGTCCACAATGCCGCCAGCAGTCGCACCAAACTACTCCTTTCAGCCGCTCGACCCTGTCGAGTCGTCGGATCCCGCTGCTGCTACGAGCCACTTCCGCGCCTTCACCCGTGTCGCACGACCCATCGAAACCGTACCAGACTCGGAAGGCGAAGAAGTCTCGTCCGACGACCAGGATGAAAACCACGATCCACGATCTCGCAAACCATCTCCATCGTCGTCCAAAACTACTTTGGAGCCAGAAGACTTTCGCATTGGCGATGTCGTCTACCTTCCCTCTTCGTATCAGGCTCCCCTCGCCGGAGTGCTCACGCATCTTTGGACAGATGCATCAGAAGAGGGCAAGATCTTTGGCGTATGTCGACTCCTCCACTGGCCAGAATGGATGTCGACGATGGCAAAGAAGCGTATGGCTGGCATCACCAGTCGACACGAGATCTACTACACCCATAAGGCAACCTCGCTCACAAAGCGAAGAACAAAGACCAGCGCAAGGTCGGGCAAGGAAGGTGACACCTTCGAAGCAGGTCCTTCTCTCCATGATTACTCCTTCGACGTAGACGAGATCATTGCAAAGGTGCACATCCACTCCAGCCAAGCAGAGTGCTCGAAAGCCATCAAAGAGTCGTCGGCGGCGCTGTCAGCTATTCAGGTCAATCAACCCGCCGAACAGCCACCAGCATCGGATGCAAACGTAAAGAAGAAACCTGTAAAGACGCATACGCTGTACAAGAACAAGTCATTCCCGACGCACTTGTTCTGCGAGCGTGCGGTCGATCCCAACAGGGAGCTCTTCTGGCGCATCGATTGGGCCAAGGTGATCGACAAGGGGAAGCTGGGCGCTGGTTGGGATCTCAAGGATGACTCTTCCGACGTTGCCACTTCACAGGGTCAAGGTGTCAAAGACCTCGTTGAGCAAGTGCAAAGAGATTCGGGCGAGGTGCCAGCTCAGACAACGACACCTCGAAGACCGACACGAGCGTCCACGCCGTCCACCGTAGCTTCCGCGTCCGATCTCGCCTCCACCAAACCAAACCGCAGTCGCGCCACCGGCACACCATCCTCCATCGCTGACATCAACGATCCCGCACCCAAACGACGACCAGGACGCCCACGCAAGGAAGACTCGCTCTCCGCCGGCGTCGCCGCACGCAAACGCACGTACAACCGCAGAAAGACCAACGGTGTCGACACCGACTCCGACGCCGCTTCCGACGACTCGTTCCAGAGCGGTGACGAGTTCGAGGTCGAGGACAACCTGCTCGTCAAGGCGAGGCACCTCGACACGCCCGAGTCCTCCGACAACGAAGGCTCTCAGTTCAGCGATGCCGAAATCGACGACGACGACGATGATGACGACGACGATGATTTTGGCGGCAAGACATTCAACCTCACACCACGTAAACGTGCCAAGCTCGCCAAAGATGCTCCACCCATGACACCCACCAAGCGACGCATGCTTTCGACGCCGCAGAAGATGGCCTTGGGGCTGGCTAGTCCTGCCAAAGCACAAGCGACGCCGCGATCCAAAGCGCGACTCATGGGTCTCAAAGCGCGCAGTCTGCCGCATCCCACCCTACCTGCACGGCCACCCAAGATCTCGCTCCTGCCGAGCGACCAGGCGCAGACGCTGAGCGCGCACGATCGCGCCAAACGTCTGCTTCACGTCGGTGCTACACCCGACCACCTCCCCTGTCGAGAAGATCAGTACGAGGAAATCATGGCTTGCGTCGAAGATGCCGTGGAGGAGGGCATTGGAGGATGCGTGTACGTCTCGGGTGTTCCGGGGACGGGCAAGACCGCTACGGTCCGCGAAGTGATTCGAGCGCTGACGGCGCGAGCCGAGCGAAACGAGATGAACCCCTTCTCGTTCGTCGAGATCAACGGTATGAAGCTGGCGGATGCCTCGCAGGCGTACACCTTGCTCTGGTCCGCCATATCGGGTGGTCAACGAACTTCGCCCAAGACTGCGCTCGGTCTGCTCAGTTCTCACTTTGCGCGTGTGGGCGCCAAGATGTCCGGTGCTGCCGGAGGCGCAGGTCCGGGTAGAGCAGCGACCGTCGTACTGATGGACGAGTTGGATCAGCTGGTGACGGCAAGGCAGGATGTGATGTACAATATGTTCAATTGGCCCAACACGCGCGGTAGCAGGTTGGTGGTGATTGCGGTTGCCAACACGATGGATCTGCCGGAGAGGACGTTGAATGCCAAAGTGGCGAGTAGGTTGGGTATGACGAGGATCACGTTCATGCCGTACACCGACAGGCAGTTGGTGGAGATTGTCAAGTCGAGGTTGGGTATCGGTAGCGAGCAGCAGACGACCACGGTTGGTGAAGCTGGGGAGCAAGACGAGGCGGGTGGTGGATGCGGGGGAGTGCTGAGTCTGGATGCGATCACGTACGTCAGCAAACGCGTCTCCAACGTCAGCGGTGATGCTCGGCGTATGCTGGACGTCTGTCGACGTTCGATCGAACTGGTGGAGCTCAAAGCCAAGACGTCCGGTCTCACCATTCCGAAACCGGTCACCATCCTCGACATGAAATCCGTCCTGGATTCCATGGTGAAATCAGGCAAAGTATCGCACATCCTCTCGCTACCTCTGCACGCCAAGATCCTCCTCCTCTCCCTCCTCTCCTGCCTCCGAAGAAGCGGTTTGGCAGAAGCACAGCTCGCCGACGTCGAAACTCATCACCACGCCATCTGCAGAATGTACGCCATCAACTTCACCACATCCCCTTTCGCCCCTGTCGCTGCTCAGGATTTCTCCCTCACCTCTCCCCTGGCTACCCTCTCCGCTCTGGGATTGGTCGTCTGCGTGGGTCAGGGTGCCGGTACGGCAAGAGCGGGCGGCTTCGCGAGGTTGATGTTGGCTTGTCAGGAGGATGAAGTACGGCTGGCGTACGAACACGATCCCGACGAGAGGTTGAGGAAGATGCTCTGACCAACCGCGCGTCGATCGTTGCAATTCATACGACTTTGCCCTTTCGAGAAAGAACAGGCAACGCGGTGTGTGCTCAAAGTCAAAGCATGAGGTCAGCTCGAAGCAGTGACTGCTGCGCGAGTGAGATTGGAAAGAAGGCCACGAGGGCTTGATTGATTGATGTTTGCTGTGCGTGACAATTTTGTCGCTGGAGTGGGATGTGCATGGTATTTACAGATGCGTTTCGACGAAAAGTGAAGTGTTTCTTTCATGCTGTAGTTCTGGCTGTACCGGGGCTGAATCTGCTATCGCGATTGCGAAGAAGACAGTAGTCGCCGTACACGTTGGTGTTACCCGGCCACGATTTGGGCAACCAAAAGGCGCGATGCAGTGCAGCGCCGACCTTCCTCCCAACCTTGCTCAGCAGCGAGTCGCGTGGCTCTACAACAGGACGGCTGAACTCGGCATCGAGGAATGCACCGCAGAAGACGCGATCCCATTCGTCGGCCATGGTGGCGTAGCGAGGCTCGTAGCGCGACTGTTGGCCGTTGGAAGCCAGACTTCGGTGGGGAAGGTCGAGATCGACGAGATAGTCGCAGGTCGAGACATCGACGTAGCGATCAACCTCTTCCCGGTTGAGCTCGTTGAATCCGGGTTGGAGGCGGCGCGTGATGGAGGACCATGGCCAGGCCCAGCCGAGGGCGGTATCGAGGGTGCCGGCGACAGCGTCGGCAGGTTGGACGGCGGACGCAGCGTCTACGTCAAAGTGCTTGGGGAGGATGCCGTCAAACTCGCTCTTGATCCACTCGACCTCGACGCCAGCAGGGACGAGAAAGTGGGTGGGGAAGCGATGCCACTCTTTGCCGTAGCACAGCCTGATGGGCTTGTCGAGCGTGGCCAGCGGTGCGAGGTTGATGGAGAGATCGACGCTGACACCCTTGTTCTCGGCTCCGTAGCCTCGGTCATTGTACTCCTTCTCTTGCTCGGTCGCAACCGGCGAGAGGCCGCGCGCGATCCTCTGCTGGATGGCTGGGCTGAGCGTATCCGGGAAAACGTCGGCGACGACGCGAGGCAGCTCGTATCCTTCAAAATGGAAGAGGACGTCAAAGGGCGCATGGTAGTTGTTGAGCTGACCGACGGATCGCAATACGCCGAGCAGCAGGCCTAGAGCCAGCACTGAGGAGGTGATGGTAGTGAAAAGGCTCGACTTGGAAGCGCGGTAAGGCGACTTTGTGACCTGAACAAAGACGACCTCGGCAAGCGTACGGACGAGGTAGAGGGAGACGGCGGCGTTGAGGCAGAGGAGCGTGTAGGCAGGGTACATGAAGCGCTCTTCCTTGTGCGCTTGAAGCGTGAGGACAAGGAACCAGAGGTAAAAGGGGGCGACGCGGAGAAGAGCGAGGGCAAAGAGGCTAGACGGCTTCTCGGTAGAGGCGTGGCCTTTCTTGGCTTCGAGAGCCGGTCTCTGAAAGCGCCTGGGGTCGAGTCGTGCGGTGACGAGCATGAGTGGAAGCGACATGAGCGCCAAGGGGAAGAAGATGTTAAAGTTAAGGAACAAGTTGGAAAAGTAGTAAGTGAGAGGCTCGGTGCCGTAGAGCTCTGGACCAGCACCTCTTGATCGAGAAAAGAGGTTGTAGAGGACAATGTTGAGCGGCGCAAAGGCGAGCTTGCCGTAAGCGAGCGTGTCGATGGCGAGAGCCGGCAATGCGATCGCAGCAGAAAGGATGGCAGCACCGATGGCGGTAGACCACCTGGACGTGACCCAGTTGGCATACTTGCCATTGGCGACGACATCGTCGCCTCGAAGGAGGAGCTGTTCGACGACAAAGGGTAGAGCGAGGACAATGGCAAATGGCCAGCCAACGATGGCGCCCGCAGCAAACGAGAGTACCGAAAGCAAAAGGCGCTCTGATCGGAAAGGTCGCTGCGATGGAACGGAGAGCACGGATGGGTCCGAGGACGGCAGGCGTGCTGGGTAGAGACATGAGGAGAAGGCGAGGGTGGAGGCATGCATGACGAAACTGGAGGGTAGAAGGGCAGTTGAAGCCTCGTAGATACCGGCGCTAGTGGCGAGAGCCATGAGACAGTAGCGACCGACTCTAGGACTGAATACGTCGGCGACGGCCTTGTAGAACCTCGCGTCTACGAACGACGAGACAAAGGCGAGGAGCAAGCGGACGGCGAAAAACACCTGGCGCTTCCCGACGCCCAAGTAGGCGAGCAGCTTGGCGAGAGGTAGGAAGTGAGCGATGAAGGCCCAAGATCGGATGGCGAACTGGGGCGAATACTCCCATGTCTGGAATGCGACCGAAGCGTGGTGCTTGCCGCGTGCAAAGACGAGCAGATGGAGGGGCTCCCAGTAGCCAAACGACTCGTCGCAGTCCTTGATGACCGAGTACATGGCGGAAGAGACGCGAATGATGATGAGGAAGCGGAAGGCGGCCGATATGGAGGGTGACCAAGCAGGCTTCTGATGCATTCTGCCGTGGTCCTGGAACAGCGCGTTGCGACGAGAGAGGAGAGCATCGGCGGCGGCCGCATCCTTGGCAGCGGACGCTTTTGCGTATGTAGCGTCGCCCTGCTTCTGGAAGCGCAAGCCTTGCGACTTGGGAATGTGCGGTGGCGTAGCCATGATTGTCGGATCACCCGCGTGCGCGCTACAGGGCGAGATCAAGCTGCAATGATGGTGCGGCAAAGGATGCGCCGGTCGAGTGTTGGATGAGAAGAAAGCGGAACGCATGCACAGAACAGGACTCCAAAAGCAAAATAATTACCGCACAGACAGCAAATTAGAGCTCGGCTTTGCGCGTCTACGGATCTTCCGTTCTCGTTAGAGAGAGTGTTGGTCTCTGGCGCCAAGAAGTGATAGGCAGCAAGGGGAGCCAGTGGATTGGTCGGCGATCGAGCTATCGGCTTGTGACCGCGATCAGCATGGCATTGCGTCTGTCAACATGGATCGATGGAAGGTGCGCCACATGCTCACGACAGTCTGATCAGCTCTGAGCTCAAGTGCAACTTATGAATCGATTGGATGCATGGGTATCGCAGGTCGGCGAGAAGAAGTCGAAGTTGCTATGTCTACTGGCCAAAAACCTTTTCGAGACCTGAAAGCAATCTCTGCTCAAAGACGCGCTCGATGAACTCTCCTTCCTGGGTGAACCATTCGCCTGTGAGTGATGGAGATCGTGTGAGAGTCAGTTGATTATAGCCATTATGATGAATGTACGACTGCACCGACACCTACCTAGATGACCGAGTGGCAAAGGGGTGCTCTTTTGTACGGCGTGCGAGCTATCCTTTGTGCTCGTGCGCCTGTATGTGATGTCAAGCGAGTATGCTGGCGGCGTGAGGATGGGTTTGCCATCGGTCGTCTTTGTATCTTTCTTGATGGCTTTGGGGAGCGGCGGCGACGCGATGGTGAGATGTTCGGTCGGTGTGCGGTCGGACTGAGCTTTGCGTGTGCCGATGAAGACGTTGTTGCCTTGGAGGTATGAGTCGGCCATCTGTATGCCTGACAAGATGGTGTAGACTACTACGGCGATGGCGCAGGCGTGCTTGTTGTTCTTCCACTCCTTTTCTACAAAGTACGCCCAGATCGAAGTGCCGATCATGACGGCTGAGGCCGCAAAGCCGAGCACGAGGCGCAGATCGGTGTGGAAATGGCTGACCTTGAACGGAGCGAACGCTGGCGGTTGCGTCGAGGTTGCATGTGGATCAGGTTGGCGCGACAGGATACGTTCCACTGCTTCGTCGCAGGTAGCTTTGAGCTCGGTCAGATTTGAGGTATCCACGACGATCTTGTCGGAGCTTGCTTTGGGTTCCTTTGTCGTCTCGACCATTTTGACGGAGGACCGTGTCTCTCGGCAGGTGGCTGTTTGATGTCAAGAAGCGATCATGAACGGCCCTTAGCCAACGTCGAGTGAATCGCAGCAGACAAGCAAATGAAGAAAGAGGGTTGCGGTCGTGCGTCTCTCGGCTGGGGTGCAACGAACGCTACGTGGAAGACTCTCGCTTCCAGACGACGATTTCATTGAGATGTTACGCTCTCCCGGTCAACATTCCTAGTGTCTTCATGCTGTTCCATTGTTAAGCCCACTTGGTGCGAAGAAGGCAGAATCGATTCTGAACTTCTGCAGCTCCAGAGCAGTCAAAAGACGCTCTTCCTTCAGGAGCGCGAAGAAAAAATCGGCGGCGAATCTTCTTGAGATTTGGCCAATTCTTTCTTTTTTTCGCTCCTCGGCGCTGTGTCTGCAAGCCACTCAAAGGGACTTCAACTTGGAGATTCGCCGTCCGTTGCTGCACCACATTCAGTCGGCTTGCTCTTGCGAAGATCCATCAATCGTCGGTCAGTCAAACTGATTGGCAGCCGTGATCCGAAGCTGGATTTCATCTTTTTGGCCTCTCGTGTCACAATCTCATCCCCCTTCTCCCTCACCATCACCAAGTCCTTGCCTCATCGTTCGCAAGGTCCACTCACTCGCACACGGTTCTTTCCAGCTCGTCAGGACCACTGCTTCTCGCAACCCCCGCATCTCTGTCTACTTTTGTCGACAAATCAGCTTGCCCATCATGCGTAAGTCTTTCCCTAGCACTCGTACGCCCTCCTCTTGGCTCATCTAGGTCCTTTGCTGATAGTTGCCTTCGTACCCCACATTCTCCATGCCACGCCATCACAGCGCCTAAACGAGGACAAAAGATGGCTCTCAACGATTTCTTGGCCGACGAGACCACCGGCAAGACTTCGTGGGCAGACGAGATGGACGACCTTCCCATCTCCTCTGCCCCTCGCGACTCCAGCTACCGTCGCGGCGGCGACTTCCTCTCCAGCGTCCCCGACCGCGTGGACCGTGATCGAGCTTACGCCGCAGACCGTGGCTTCGACCGTCCCGAGCGCAGCTACCCTCCTCGCGAGGAACTTCCTCTCCCCGACAAGCCTCCCTTCACCGCCTTCGTCGGCAACCTCTCCTTCGACGTCATGGAGGCCGACGTCGAGGACTTCTTCGCTCCTTCAAAGACCGTCAGCGTCCGCATCGTCACCGGTCACGATGGCAAGCCCAAGGGTTTCGGATACGTCGAGTTCCAGTCCCAGGACGACCTCAGAGCCGCTCTCGACAGAAGCGGCGCTCAAATCGCCGGCAGGACCGTTCGCATCAGCGTCGCAGAGCCCCCCAAGAGCGCTTTCGGCGGTGACCGCTCCTTCCAGGCCAGCCAGGCAGACGATGCCTCCCAGTGGCGCCGCGCTGGTCCCCTGCCCCCCTCAGAGCCTCGCGGTGGCTTTGCTCCTCGTCCCGAGCGATCCGGTGTGCCCCGCACCGAAGGCTCTGGCTTCGACAACATGGACGTCAGCGCAGGTGTCCGAAGCGGTTTCGGCGCAAAGTTCCAGTCCGCCCCTCCTTCCGCCCGCCCTCCACGCGATCTTGCTCCCGTCGAGCCCAGCCAGGGCGACCTCGCCAGCCAGTGGAGGACCGGCAAGCCTGTCGAGGGCCGATCTCCTGCCAGCTCGCGTCGCCCTTCCGGCATGGCCGACTCGGACTCGCGCCGATCTTCCTTCCGTCAGCGCAACGACGCCAACGACGTCGACGACCGCTTCGCTTCCCAAGAACGAATGGGCTTTGGCTCCAAGTTCACCCCGGACCAGACTCCCCCCGAGAGCCCCGCCAATGCCAAGAAGGGCTTTGGCTTTGGTGCCGCAGAACGACGCACCGGCGCCCAATCCGGTTCTGCTCCTGGCGCCGCTTCAGACTCCACCGAAAACTGGCGCACTGCCAAGAAGCCCAGCTCTGGCTCCTCCAGCCCCGCTCCTTCGGCTGCCGCTCCTGCAGAGCGCAAGAAGCTCGATCTGAAACCCCGCTCCGCTGAGAGCGCCGCCACTGCCGCCGCTTCCACTAACAGCTCCAAGCCGAGCCCATTCGGCAACGCCAAGCCCATCGACGCATCCGAGCGCGAAAGGCAAATCGAAGAGAAGCTTTCACAGCGCGAAAAGGAGAGGCAAGAGGAACTCAAGGCCAAGAAGGAGAAGGCAAAGGCTGAAAAGGAGGCAAAGGAAAAGGCTACTGCCGCCACTGCCACCGACAGCTCAAAGCCTGAGGCTGCAGAGGCTGCTTCGCCAGCTGCAGCGTCGACTTCTCCTGCAGCTGCAAAGGCACCCCGTGCCGCGGCACCCACCGGCGCCTGGGGTGGAGGACGCAAGCCCTCTGGTGCGCTCGTTGGCGGTGAGCAGGACGAAGCTGATGCATCGGATGCCAACGGCCAGGAGACCACCGAAGCTCAGGTAGACGAGGTGGCTGAAAAGGTCCAGGAGACCAAGCTTGAGGCTTGAAGCTTCGTACGATGCAGAACTCAAAATCCAGCCCAATGACAGGGTTCTACTGAGACCTGCAGTCCTCTCTGCCGTCTCTCTTCATCCAACCAAAAGAAGCGCACTTCAGATCATCCTGTAGACCTTCAGCCTGCTGCTTCCCAGCAACCCTCCCGCCATCGCGTACGGTCGTCAGTTTCCAGAGGCTGTCCACTTTCCGGATACCCCTCCCATTCCTCTCTCGTCGAAGGTGGAGAGCACTGCTACCACGCCCGTTCGCTACGCGCACACACGCATCCTTTGAGTCAAGCTCCTCTTTCTTGTCTTGATCTCTGTAATTTACAGCTCTTCCATTCTCGTTCCTTCTCCGTGTCAAAAACATGTTCCCCCGGCCGTGGGCTCGCGGCATTCGTCTTGAACTTCGATCGTGAAGCGCTTGAGTCGTGCTTTGCCGATGTCAGCGGCAAAAGCTTATCGCGGCAAGGCAGTTGAATTGAGATGGAAGATGCAGTGGCTGTCTACGTCTACATTTGCCGTCGAAGCTGAGATTCCTGGACAGTGGTAAGTTACATGTGAAAAGGGTCTTGCCAGAGAGCCTCCGAGGAAGCGATCCAATGTCTTTTCATACAGCTGTCGAATTCCACATTTGACCGGCAGCGATCAATTTGCGAACAGCCTCTTCGCAAAAGATGACGCCCATCTTTGTCGAGCAGATTCCGGCGGGACCGCCTTCGTCTCCACCGCCCGATCTCTTTTTACGATCTCCTACGCGCCACCAGCCGATCAAGGTCGAGCTATTCTTGGCTGGTGCCACCAACGACTCGCGCTGCTGCTCGCCCCAGCCGTCGACATCGGCATGTATTCTCCAGAAGCTGGACAGCACCGCAACAGGCCGTTTGGTCAGGAGAGACTGGTAGTCGGAGGTTGATTTGCTGAGACGAGCATAGTTGGGGCTGAAAGTTCCGAGATTTGCGTCTAAACGCTCCAGCCAGGACGACATGAGCAGCCGGGGGTTGGCGCCTCCAGCGCCGTAGATTCGCCAGCCTCCGCCACCCATGTCGTGCTGACGTGCGGCGCGTGCTCGCTGTCCTGGAGCCAGAATGCGGTCGACGACTGTCTTTCCCTTGAGCATTCCGATGATGCGTGTGATTCCGGTTGGCTCTGCAAGAGCAGGCAGAAGATCGTAGAAAAGGGAGCCAAACGGTCCGTGACGTTTGGCGAGATAGCCAGCACGTGCTTCCGAATCGCGTGAGACAACGTTGGTGTACCATGACGCCGGAGTCTCTGCATCTATGTGGAGGAACGAGTGGACGAGCTCGGGGTGCTCGACAGCAAAGTCGTGCGCGAAAAGGTTACCATAACCTGTGGAAACAAGCATGAACTTGCCGAGCGATTCGCCATCGCCCTTCTTCTTCTTGAGTGTCGATCGTTTGGACGCAGTGTCGAGGTCGATCTGGTCGTGCTTGCGGAGGGCATGGTAAAGTGCCTCGGTTTGCAATCGCACCGACGTTGGCTGATAGACGAAATCTGAATGTCCGTAGCCGATGCGATCCCAAAAGCACACGCGAGTGAGAGCGAGGTGGCCGTCGTCGTCCCCTCCGCCAAGATTCGAATTGGATCTGGCCACCATCTCCCGAAGGAATTGTGCGGCGACGACGCCAGATACGCCACGCTCCGACATTACCAGAGCGGTGGGCGCGATAGTCGACGAGTTGGGGGACTTGGAGGTGCCTGAGCGAGCGGGAGCGGATTCGCAGGCGAGATGAAGGCGGAAGGAGACAGGGTACGGATTGACGTCGGCGGGGTCTTGCGGGTATACCGTTTGCTTTGTGAGTGAGGTAGGATGTACCATGGTGAGGTTTCCGAGCGGCCTGAAGCCAGAGTCGGCGGCGTCGAGCACCAAGTCAAAGGTGACTAAAGCGGATGCGAGAGCGACAGCCAGGCAGCCAAGCACGGCCCAGATCAGCTTGAAACGCCTCTTCCACTTTGCCTGAGCTCGAGCGAGGGGAACCTCGGTGACGATGGGCGCGCCCACATCTGGATTGATGGTGAAAGGGATCCTTGTTTTTTGAAGATGGTGCGAGGAGAGGAACGCCCAGAGCGTGGAGAGGAAGCAGAGGCCGACCGAAGTGAAGCCCAGGTAGGAGTGGGTGATGCGGAACTCGGGCACGGCGAGGAGCAGCACGACGTCGAGGACTGTGCAGCAAAGGACGAAGAGATGGAAAACATTGGTGGCGTGGGTTGCCAGCTCGAAGAAGAGCAGGCCAGGACCTAGCATGGATACCGAGATGAGGCCGAACCATAGCGGCAACACCGCTGGCGAGCGATGAGGCGGGAGGAGCAGCGGAATGGGCTCGAAGAGGTTGATGATGAGCAAAATGAGCAGGATTGTGACGGGCAGCAAGAGCAGCACGCCCACAGCAAAGTAGAATCGCAGGAATAGCGTCAAGTATGGCGATCCCCTCGATCGGGGTGCGGGCGGCGCCGACTCGTGAGGAATAGCGCTATAGTCGGATGCAGCCGACGCTGGACCTAGCAGAGGCTGCCGCTCGCTGTCCTGGCTATGATTGGCAGCCGATGCTGCTGAGGAGGACGACTTGGGTGCCATGCTGGAGTTGGTGCACTGGACACGGCGCGAGAACCGGGGTGCCAAGCAACTTTTACAGAGGATGGACGGTCTTCTTTGCTGTGAGGCTGCCGAAACACAGCGACCAACCTGACGATCGGCCTTGAGACCAGAGTTGAAGATGATGGTAAGAGCCTGAGGCCATTGTTTCTACGCTCGTCACACACAACATGGTGATGTTCCGCCCGGCCTCCCTGTGGTGAGGTGCGGGGGATCGCAATGGCCGACACTAGAAATGACGCCAGCACGCGCGCTGTCCTAGCGTGTTCTGCGCTCGCGCTGCACAGTAGCAGCGAACCTTGAATCGGAAAAAGTGGAGGTTGAGGGCCGAAATTCCACACGGACCAGAAACGTGGGAGAAGAGTGCAAAATGTGACCCTCGCTCCCACCGCTGTGGGACGCAAAATTAACAGACCAGACCCTGAGTTTGGCGGCGCCGCGAACCCAATGTGCTGTCGATGAGCTACAAAGTTGAACCCTCTCTGAGCGCAGCTGCATGTCAAAAGGGCAAGACTGAACCCGTCACAGCCACACTGAGTCTTGACCTCAGGCCCGGGTACCGACGTTCGCGCCTCATGCTGAGCGACGGCAAGCGTGCGTGCGTGAAATGTGATTTGTGCGGAAAGTATTGCGCTGTGTATGCGTGGAGAGAACAACAGGGTCAAAATCGACGCGACAGGGCCAAAGGTGTGAACTTGCGGCAGGTGCGAGGGTGACTTCTTTTTCGGCAACGCTTTACTCTCCGACACGCATCATAGTCACAATCCTTCCAACCCAGATCGTTTTTGCCGTTCAGCGGTCCTGGCAAATCCGACAACATTCGCCTGCTTACCACCATCGACGCCTCTCACTCACGATCCTCTGAAAGCGCTATCTATCCAGTCGCACCCTGCAGAACGTGATCGACGGAGCAGCCGACAAGCCCGCTGCTGCTGCTCATTGCAAGCGAGACATTCGCCCACTTTCATTTCCGCACTCATCGACATCGCTACCCTCGTCCCTGCTCCTAGCTCCAACTCGGCGTGATCGGCAGGTTCCGCATGTCTTGACTCTTGCCTTGCAGCTATCTCGCACGCCGACCTTGTGATTCGCCCGCGGTCGTGCGAATTCAGCGATTGTCTCGCCATGGTCAACACGTTCTTTGGCCTGCCTCTCAAGCAGGTCTCGCTTGCTGTGCTCACCATCCAAAACACAGCTCTCGGCGTCGTGATGCACCACAGCCGCGTATCTGCCCCAGCCGGAAAAGCCTACTTCTTTCCCACCGCTGTTCTCCTCACGGAGCTGCTCAAATGCACCATATCATTCGCCATTGCCGCCGTCTCTATACCCAACCGGACCGACTCGCTCCCCCTCCCGTCAGGTTCGATCAAGACGTCAGCTTCCTCCAAACGTAAATACTCCACTCCGGAGCACGACGCAATACAGCCACTCGGATCCGACGGCGCTTCACCCGCACTTACTCCCAGCTCCAGGCTTAAACTCGTATTGGATGAGGTCGTAGCCGAAGACTATTGGAGGCTCTCCATTCCCGCTTTCCTCTATGTCCTCCAGAACAATCTTCAGTACATTGCTGTCTCCAACCTGGAACCGCCCGTCTTCATCTGCGCCTACCAGATGAAGATCCTCACCACCGCCTTCTTCAGCATCGTCCTCCTTCGCAAAAAGATCGGCATGTGGCAGTGGATCTCGCTTGGCATGCTGGCCATAGGCGTCGCCATCGTCCAAATTCAGAGCAAATCCGTCTCTGGTCTCGTTCCCTTTGAAGTCCACTCTCACGGCTACGGCCATGTCTCAGCCGGTCCTACGGCCGATCTGCCCCCTCCTCCACCCCCTCCTCCATTCGATTCGCATCGCGCACCACCTCCAGAACGCCTACCTAGCATCGGCTCCTTCCTCTCTGGCTCCGAAAAGAAGGACTACGACAACTTGCCCCCATCATCGCCTTCCTTTGATGGCTCACGTATATCCATGAGCATGGAGGAGAGCGCCAGAGCCGACAAGCCGATGCAGCCCATCCAGGGATTTCTCGCCGTCATTGCTGCATGCTTCACATCAGGCCTCGCAGGCGTCTACTTCGAAATGGTCCTCAAGACATCGAGCGCCAACCTTTGGGCCAGAAACGTCCAGCTTTCCGGCTGGTCTTTGCTCCCTGCAGCGCTCCCCGTCCTCCTCGAGATGGCTCGCCACGGCGTACAGTCGCCTTTCCTGCATTTCGGCGTCAGCGCCTGGGCCACCGTAGCGCTGCAAGTCACAGGTGGCTTAGCCGTCGCCATGGTCATCAAACATGCAGACAACATCTTGAAGGGCTTCGCTGTCAGCTTCAGTATCGTTCTCAGCTTTGGCTTCAGCGTCGCATTTTTCAACTTCCCATTCACCGCTCCGTTCGCCGCAGGCGTCGCATTGGTCATCCTGAGTACCCTCTCTTATTCCCGCGGACCCGCGAAATCACTTACAAAAGCGTCGTCCACTTGGAACGCCGTTGCAGACGCGGCTTCGTCTTCTACGACCTCTTCCTTCCGCGACAAGGCACGGCTCCTCAGAGACTGATCTAGCACATCCAATACCATCGTCATAGCATTGATCCCGTTGTCGCACTCGTGCGTCTGATCGCGTGTCTCACCTCCCTGTGCGAGTGTGACCGGCAGCACGCTGCGCAGGTTGGCAAGTCTGACAACCATTTAATCTTGGCATGTCTGTCGATCCTCATCTCGAACCATCTTGAGATTCTGGTGTCTGCCCCTGCCCTCGGTCGACCAAAACGTATTGATGGTATTACAGTCCGACAAAGCGTCTCTGTTTGCGCTTTTGAACTGCTGTCTGAGCTTAGAAGAGGTCCGCGGCCCTCACCTTGTGAGATTCTCGTCCGTCTCCTTTCGGTTGTGGTCCCGTCGCTTCGATGGAAACGGAGTTGTGACCTGTGATGCCGCCTGGTGGTGGTCCTTGTGGCGCCGGGCCGTATCCGGGCGGTGGCTGCCTCGGAGGTGGTCTCGCAAAGTTTGGCGGTGGCACGCCGAAGCCTGGTGGTAGCGCTGGGGGTGGTACTGAGTACGGGCCTGCTGCTCCGAAGCCACCTAGCATTCCTGGCATCATACCAGGAGCAGGCGCCTTCCCGCTCATGAGCGCCTTGTGGGCCTCTAATTGGATTCGCAGTTGTTCCTTCGATAGCACCAGCTTCTCGATTCGTGGGCGTTTGTTCTGAGTTGGCAAGCTTCCGTCTGCCTTTTGCGCCGCGCGACGTGCCTTCCATTCTGCCAAGTCCTCCTCGGGGATTCCTGCCATACCATAGATCTCGATTTCGAACGAATCTCGACCAGGCAGTGTATTCTCGATCCTGTGAGACCAAGCAGTGAGCAGAATGTCAGCAATCCTCACGTGATTCATGGAAGAGCCTCCTCCCGCAGTGTGACTCACTTATCCGGCTCCGCTTTGTGCACTTGGGTGAGATGTACTGAGAGGCCCCCGGCGGTGTTGAGCCTTCGGGGGCATTGTGGGCATCTGTAGTGCTTAGACTTTTGATGCTGTAGAAGGACTGTGTGAAGGCACGGCGGTGCGACAGGGTCAGCGAGCGAGCAGAGCAAAGCGGAAATAAGCAGCAACGAGTCTCACCCTTCTCGTCCTCGAATTCTCGACTGCAACCGAGATCATCACAGATGTCAGATGGCAAGGGTTATAGTCAGTGAACAACACGGTCGAGCAAGATCTGACAAGACGGTCGACTTACTCGCAGTACCAGCACCACGCCTCGAGCTGCGGCGCTTTTCTCTTCTTCTTGGCCATCGTCAACTTTGCCTTCAGGCGAACGTTGAGATGGGTGGTCGGACCTATGATGGTGGTGAGAGGGAGACTCCAAGCTGGCGAACGTCTGCGAAGACGGCAGCTCCACCTGGTGACCCAAGGACCCTGAACTTGCGAAGGACTGCGTCGACGCGTAATGCTGACAAATCAGCAGCACCCTTTTCAGAGATCGGATTTGCTGACCTTGCGTTATTGTCAGTCGCAACAAAGTCCATCCAAGTTTTTTCTTGAAATGTAAAGATTGTTTTGAGCTTCTAATTAGTGCATATGTATAGCATCGCCGGCAAATATGCTCCGGCTCGGGGTTCTGTTTGGTCATACAGTTTTGGCTGACAATTATACCCGGGAAAGGGATAAATTGATTAAGAGTCATGAGTAACGTCCATGTCGTAAAGCGCAATCAATTACAAAGATGGAATTTAAGTGCAACTTGCAATTGGCAGGAAATTGTCTTCTTAGCGGTCAAAAGCGAATCGCGAGATTTGTTGTCTGCTCTTCATGTCGCTAAACTTAGTGACGGTTCCTGTCCGTGTAAATGCATTTTGTTTGCCTGCAAATCTTACAGTCTGACGCGGCTAAAGCATCTTACGTATGCGCGGTATGATTTCTCTTGACAGTCACTCGCGATGACAATTTGTCAATAAAGAGACTCGATTTCAAGCACAAAAATTGCATTGACGACTACGTAGAGGTCATATGTACCAAAACACACAGGCAAAATTGCAATGACTCACAATGACAATGTTTTTCAACATCACCTGGCAAAAGAAGTTGATCACGAAAACTAAACTTTGACAAGATCAAGACAATATCTGCGATTAGCGCTAAACAAAATAGGCCACATGCGTAACTTGCAAGCATCATGCTAGAAATTTAACTTGGCAAAAGTGACACGCGTCAGCAAAGCCGAAGCGTTTTTGGTACTTTGGTTCATCATCTCTCCTCACATTAGACCGTGGGGTCACGTAAAAATTACCCAGGTCAATTACAAGCAAGAATAAAGATGAAAAAGGTACTAGATGGAAAAATAAGTTGAAAGTGAAAGAAGTCTCACGAAAGATATTGATTGATTCATTCACCAGTCACCACCGGACACCACGTTGGTTGATTTTGTCGAGAACACAGAATTGTCGCGCACGAGCATTTTTTGGCGCGGAAGTATTAAGATGTGAGCATCAACGCCAGATAGCCTCTATCTTGGTCGTGAAGTTAATAATAGCATTATTTGTTTGCTTCGCCAGATTCCGGTTTCCATGAGGAAAAAAAAATCGCAGAGAGAGGCCCGGTTTCCTCTCGCGTTCACCCTTTCGACGCTTTCCTAACGCAACAACTCTAATGCGAACCCGAACCAGGTTTGGTAGGGGGGCATCATGACAGGTGCACGGAGGCATGGTGATGCCAGAATCTCTGAGAGATGCCACAGCTCACGACGGGACGGTCACTCATCGAACGGAGTCCATGTCGCGGATTCGTCAAGCGGACTTGGGCCAGAACAGACGGATCGCGGCCATGTCCCTGTCGAGAGGCCAAGCAGATTGGTATACAGTGAATAAAAATACAATACATGCTGTGGGGGAATGCTAAGCAAAACGGCGGCCCATGTCTCTGGGCGCATACGGTGGAGGCAGCAAGGCCTCGCCAGTGTGGTCATCGAAGATGCCATCGTCGGAAAGACGGAAGGAGCACGCGTCTTGTTCGACGCGATAGCGCTGGGACGCACTGCGACCGACCGAGACGGATGAAGGTGGAGTTGCGGTTGCTACTATTGACGGCTGGGCTGAGGGCGGGAAGGTGGTCATTGGACTGATGGGCGAGACTGTTGTCGGGGGTGTTGGCAATGGACGTCGCGAGCCTGTCCTCACAAGATCGGTTACGGTTGCCGGCGCGGACGGATCTCTGGATGTATAGGCCATTGGTACAGAAGCGGCACGATGATGATGCGAGTGGCTCAGGCTGGCATGTTCACCAGGAACGGTGGGGCTGTTGGCCGACGAGTTGAGATTGAGCGAGCCCAAATGCTGATGGGACGGCGGCTGGTTCGTAGTCTCGCATGTGTTCGGCACAGGTCTTGATTGCGAGAAGGGAAGCTGGTATGCCGGTGTCTGGGCGGTGGCATACGCGGGATTGGTTGGAGATAGAGGCGAAAGCGGCCGACCGAATTCGGTCGAGTAGATGGTGGAGCCCATGCCCATCTCGCAGACCGGGCTACAATCTACGGGAGAGTATAGCGGAGAGTCTTGAGCGGACTCGAGACGAATCTCTTGAAAAAGGGCGGGCGTTCTGCTCGACTGTCTGGTTTCTTGGAAGTGAGCCAACTCGGTCTCGGAACGAACCCAGTACTGAGACTCGTTCGTTGTGGCAGTGACCCTGCTTGGTACTCTGCCAAGGTCACCCTGGCTGGCAAGGAAGTTGGTGTCGAGTCGCAAGCGTGATGACGTGGGTGAAGCTGGCACATCAAGATTAGTTGAGGATGAGCTGGGAGGCAGCAAGGCTTCCTTGCGTTCGAGGTCCAGCTGTTGCTGGAGTAGGCGTCGTGGACGGAGGAGCTTGTAGTAGTACACGAGTGAGCCGACCAGGAGGAAAATGCCGATCATGACCACTGCAGTGACGGTGGAAGCGATCACGATGACTTTTGTGTTGGAAGCGGGTGCCTTGAACGACTTTCCAGGCCTGTAATTGTTTGGGTTGATGACGACACCCCAGAAGTTCATGTCTGTGATATTGTTGAGGTTGCTCATCACGACGTAGTGAGTACCTTCTTCGAAGGTCTCGGAGGTCCAGATGGCAGGCGGTAGCTCGGTGCCAGACGATTTGGCGAGCTCATCTACATTTGAGTAGGCATCGACGATGACGGATGTCACGTTGTCGATGGTGACGTTGTACTTGCCTCGCGTGGGTCCACGATAGTCAAGCACGGAGAGACCATGGCCGGTAAAGTAGAAGTTGACCGAGTCGCCTGCTGTTGATGAAGAGTAGTAATAGCCGATGGGAGCAGTGTCGACGTTCTGTGGGACGCTGATGTTATGCCAATTGGAAGCTGGCCAGAAGGAGGAGCGTGGATCTCTGTTGTCAACGATGCCAGACGACCAAAGCAGTGAAGTGTTCCACGGATTTGCGACGACATCGGGCGTCATAGAAGCAGTTGATGCTACGCCATTGGAGTCGTCTGAGTCGTTGGAGATGGATGACGAATACTGAGCGGGTACGCTCGAATGTGCTGCTACCGAGCTGGTCGGAGTGGACGATCCACCGCCTGGTGCGCCGTATACTCCGCTGGTCTCGTTCATGCTTGAGAGAGCTCGAGAGAGGAGCGTACTTTGGCAAAGTGACGCCGACGTCGGCGATATGAGAGAGTCTGATTTGTAAATGCGCGCGATGGTGGTTGGTACGGGGTGGGAGACGTGCAAGATGGGCAAGGTGATGGTGGTGGCAGTAGAGTGGCGCATTATTCTCCGCAAATGCAAAAAGCAACGGTCAGTACGACTGCAGCGGGTTTGCTGCAGAAATCTGCGCGCCAACGCACTGTGCCGTCGCTGCTGCTGCTGCTTACCGCGAATCGCCGGCGCAAATATTCATTGGCAAAAGCGGGACTGAATTCGAATCCCAGTAAGAGGCAGCACCGTAGCCGATTGAATTTAGTTATCAGCTGAGCCTGCATACTGTGCAGTGCTACAGATTACAGCAACCGCGTGGGAGCGACGCAAAAATTGGCCTCTGAGGCTTGGCTCAGGAACGACGGCGGCCTTTCTCGATTCAACCGTAACGTTGTTGCGATTTTGAGCTGCTCAAGCTAAGAATCTTGGCATTTCCACCATCGCCAGCACCTTCTGGCCACGCCGGCAGTCCCGCCCAAGCCCTCTTCTCGCCAACGGGGCCAAGCGTGTCATCCCCGCACCTGCGCGATACTCTACACTCGATCAATCACCCGCAAGCACAAACAGCACGTCGTCGTTGGCACAGACATACGAGTCGTTCGGACGTGTTTGGTTCTGATCGTGAATTGTCAAGCGAAAGAGTCGGAAACATAAAATGAAAAACGGCAGCTGAAACATGGGTCGGGACGATGCGGGATCTTATGGAAGTGCGGACGAGTAGCGGGGAGACAAGGCTGAAAACTGATGGACGATGGTTTACTGATGGACGATGGTTCTACTTGGGATCTTGCGTGCGAACGGAACGAGAAACTAATGGCGATCATGAAGCGGGACGACGACTAGGAGCGGGGTGCGAGACGGATTGGGCGTGCAGACTGACCTAGTACTCTACTCCGAGGTAGACTTGCAGTCGCTCGGCACGGCGTAGCCATCCGAACGCTTTCCTCCACCCCAAGGCGTGCGCCCGATCACGCTGGCATCGGCGCCTAGACCGCGCTTGGCAAACGCCTTCCAGAGCAGACACTTGTTCTGTCCACCCGTCAGATGCTTGTCCGCCTGCACGATCGCATCGCGTGCATCAAAGAAGCTCGGACGGCACGGTTGAAGCTTCATGCCGTCCAAGATGAGCTGCACCAACAGCGAGTTGCCGTGTCGAGGCACACGTCGCTTGCTCACTCGGTGCTTACCCAGCGAAGCCGCCTCGCCTTCGTCGAGGAAAAAGGCTCGTTGCTCCTCGGCGGTCGCGTTGGTGGCAGGAGGGAACAGTTGCTTGGTGAAGCCGTGCTCAAGCACCAGCGCTTCCTCCACCTCGTTTAACATGGTGGCCCACACCTCGCCGATCGCGTGCACGCCCCAGTATCCGGCGTGGTCCAGGTACGAGTAGGTCTCTGGGTTGATCGTCTTGTTGGTCGAGTAAGGATAGTTTCGAATGCCCTTGGCGCGGTTCGAAGCCCACGATCCCATAGGCCAGTCGTGCGGCGCAGCTCCGGTTCGACGGATGATCGAGGCCAGTGCGTCACCCCATCCTTCACCCATACCTCCCGACTCGCCCCATCCGAGGCAGCCGCTGTTGGCAGGTCCTCCCGTCAGACGCGTCGACAGACCGTGGCTGTACTCGTGAATGACGATGCCGGCCTCAAAGTCGCCATCGCGGTACGGCGTCGATTGGTCCCACACATACATGCGCATCCTGCCGCGCTGGCCATCGGGAGGCGTCATAAAGTCGGCGTTGTCTGTGCCAGCACCGTCCTGGGCAAAAGCGATGACGCCGTCGTTGGCTTCGCCGCCACGGCCAAAGTTGTGCTCCTGGAAGTTGCCCGAGGCCTCATCGAAGCCGTAGGCGTAGAGCAAGTCGTGGTACTCGTTGATCGTGACAAAGAGCTGAACCGTAGCAGCAGCGACGTAGTCAGCGGGAGGCAGTTCCGAGTGCTTCTTCTCCGACTTGCGCCACTTGTAAGGGTAGTTGAACATCATGTCGGTCGTCTTGTCATCGCTGACGCGGCCCTTGGGGCGCTTGAGCGAGCTCGACTTCCATTCGCCGCTGCCCGTCGGGTCAGCTTGAGCAAAAACGTTGTTGCCTCGCGTGTCGGTGTAGACGGTGTTGTTGCCAACGACCGAGCGGGCGTCGTCGGCGTCGAGCAGCGAGAAAGGCGACTGTTTGCCGGGCACGGTGTGCCAGCCGACGGGAGAAGCCTCTTCGTAGCGCTCACCCTTTTCGTTGGATCGCTTTCCCTCAGTGGGATCGTTGAGACCCCATTTGAAGACACGGTACATAGGCTCGTGGCTCATGGGCAGCGGAGCATCGACCATGGAGGGCTTGGACGCCGTGGCGGGGGCGTAGCCGGAAAAGTCGGGACGTCCAAGCTCGGGCAGCTCTGGAGCGTCGAATTGGGGACGACCGAGCGAAGCAATCTTGGCAGGCTTGACGGCCTTGTTTGCGCGAGGACGGGGCATGCTGTGCACCCAGTCGACGACGGTGCTGATACTACCGGGACGGTGGGCGTCAGCGTAGGCCTCGTAGGCGTTGTCTTCCAGGGGGATCTGGAACTTCCATACGAGGTTGAGACCCTCACCCTCGGACTGCACATAAGCGAGCTGAGCAGGCACGGGTCCCTTGGCAGTGGGGACGTTGTGGAGGTACTCGATCTGAGTGTGGGACGCCTGAGCACCCGAGTCGGTCTTTCCTGCGTGGGGCTGGAGTTTGTGCTCGAATGTGGTGAAGATCTGAGCGGCCTCGCTCTCAGCGGCGCGCGGATCGGAGAGGCGTGCTGCGAGGCCCTCGTCGGGAGTGGCCTGCTTGAGGAAGTAGACCAGAGCCAGACGAGGGTCGACAATGGTCTCGGGACCGTGGACATCGCGCTTCGCGTAGACGTGCGAGAAGGAGCCAGCGATGCGAGAGTGGAGGTCGGCACCTTGGAGAAGGGAGTCGTCAGAGGGGACGCTGCAGAGCTCGTGGAGCTCCTCCTGAAGGGGCAGCACGGTGGCCGGATCTACGTCAGCACGGTGCGCAGCATGCTCGGGGGCGGGACTGGAAAGACTGTCAAAGACGAATTGGTGGACGCCGCCGCGGACGTAAGCTTCGTTGCTGGCACCGCGAGATTCGGCGTAATCTGCGGGGGAAACCCGAGGGAAGAGGAGAGATTCGAGCTTGGAGCGAAGCTGATCGCATCTGTGCTCGATCTGACCATCGGAAGCTGCTTCGGAGGCAGCGACACCCTGGTTGGTGAAGGGAGGAGGAGCCTGGCCGGCAAAGAGGGTGGAGCCGAACGAGAGGATCTTGCCCTCGGGCGAGATGTTGATGTTGAGGTCACCATCAGCGACCTCTAGACCATTGACGAGCTGACGAATAAAGTAGTGCGAGATGCCGCTTGAAGGATCGGTGTAAGAATCGGGACGGACGTAGAAATCGTGACCCGAGGGAGCGAGGCCGTCGGTATAGCCGAGGAGGTGCTTTGCGAGGCGGGTGGCGACCGAGTAGGGGTTCTTGGGACCTTGCTCTGCGTTGACGTAGTGGAGAGCAGCTGCGTAGGCATGCTTGCGGGATGAGTCAACGCTTCGCTTGGAGAGAGCAGCGTCGTTGTTGGCGTCGAGGCCGGCAAAGACTTTGTGGGCATGTTCGGGGCCCCAAGCGAGCGATTTGCGAGACGGATCCTGAGGACGAGCAGCGAGTCCGTCGACGAGGTGAGCATTCACGACTGGAGAAACGGCGAGAGCGGCAAAGCTGAGCCAAAAGGGTAGGAGGGCGACGAGCGCATAGAGGCGCTTGTGGCCTTGGTTGATTGAGCGCGCCATGATAAGAACGAAAACGACGACGACAAAAGAATGACGCACGCAGTCGGCGATGGACCTGTTGGCGCCGGTGCGTTGTATGCAATGTTCGGAAACCAAATGCAGACGGGGAAACGATCGACGTTGCCAAGTCTGCGAGTAGTGACAGTCAGATTAAGCGTAAGCTCGCGGTCTGGCTGACGAGCGCGAGGTGGGAAAAGAAGCGGATCGGCTGAGGGATGAAATCGATCCCTCAGCTAGTCTTGATGCGAGAGTGAACGAAGCCGATGTCGATCGATGTATGCAGTGGTGGTAGTGATGAAGGTCAAGATGATGGACGCGTGTTGGAGATAAGGCGGAAGAGAAGGCGACGAGGATGCGGAGGAGCACAGCGGATGGGACGTCGTCAGCGAGCCGGATCGTCCGACTGGGCCCAAGTTGCACAGCTCAGGGCAGTGAGGCGCTGTGATGATCGCTGCTGGATCAGGGTCCTCTGTCGAGTTGCCCGCATCGCTTGTGTGCGACTGTCACGCAGGGGGTTGATGCCGTTATCTACAGTCCACGGCTGATAAGTGAGCGGTAGCGGCACTGGGACCGTCTGCTGTGAGAGTGACCGCCTGCAAGCTCTGGCTGATGGGCCGATCTCGCTTAGACTCGAACTGAGCCGCAAAAGGGGCCAGCCGAAAGAGGCAGTTGCGCGCGCGCGCCCATCCCAGACGAGCGAGCCAACCGCTCCATCGGACCCTTAAAAAGCCATTTTGCTGCGTCGCCCTGTACTGCTTGGCCCGCTCTGCCGTGAATGCACACACACACACACACACACACACACACACACACACACACACACACACACACACGATGGAAGCACGAGCTTGGATGAACGAGCCTGCAGCTTGCAGCTAGCTACACTGTATGGCATCATTCACGCTCACTTTGACCCCATGTCATTGTGCGATGCTACGCTCTTCTGATCCTATGTATTGCGACAGTGTGAATGTGTTGCCAGGCAAAGGGCAGACAGTCTCGCCAAATTCGGTTCGAGTTTGGGAGAGCGGAGTCGCATCCAACTCCACGCTGCAGCTTGGTTTCGTCACCACTGTTTGGTGTCTCTCTGTTTTCGACGCAGATTTGTTTCAGTTGTGTAAGATTTTGCTTTAGAAGATCGGACCGATTCGAAGTCCCGATTGTGAATTTGTGGTGTGGAGCTGATCGGCAACGCACAGGCTGAGAATTTGGACGCTTTTCCTTCGCGACTCGAAATCAACACACTCGCACACTCGCACACACCACCATCACCACTCCAACATCAGGACGAGCTGACCGACACCTTGTCACCGACACCATCATACGGCGAAGAGGGACGAGGCGGAGAGAGAAGGACCTCTGCTACTCCTCGCTGTTCTCGCCATGGTGCAGACAGATGCCCAAGCAGGCCCTTCGTCGAGCCACGCTTCAACTTCCAAAGCCGGCGCTGCCTCCTCATCCGACCTCTTCATTTCCTACCAGGACATCTTCGAGCACCTCGAGCTCGCGCGACATCAAAGGGACGCTCATCACATCCATTCCATCCTCGAGAAGCGCCGAGATCAGCTCAGATCTTGTCTTCAGCCGTTTCCCATTCCCTCGGCTCCCGACTTTGGCTCCTCCAACAACGACGCTACGCCGCCTGCCACTCTCAAGCTTTCCGATGGATCTACACACAATCTCACGGAGCAGACGCGTCAACTCTGCAAGGCCATCGCTGCACAGTACCGCGTCTCTCATCAGGACGCCTTTGTCCTTCTCCAGACGTTCCTCGCCTCCGACCATCGTCACGCCGAGGGTGTACACGACGTCGTCCGCTCACATCTCCAGCTCGCTCCATCCACTCCAGTCAAAGCAAGGGCTCAAAGATCAAAACCAGCACAGAGCACGCACACGGCAAACTCCGATTCAGATCTGCTCGACGCTTTCAACATTTTCTACTTTGAGGAGCGCATGTACCTCCTCCGCACCATCTCGTCATTGATCCGCATCACAGAGGATCCCAACCACGAATACATCGACCTCGCCAACTCGGTCCTCGATCGGTTCGCCGATGAACCCTTTGCTCTCGAATGCACCCGCCATTTCTCCACTCTGGTCGATCTCTCCTTACCCGAATCCATACGTCAGCAGCCTCGTTACTCTTCCCTCTGGGCAAAGCAAATTTTGCGAGAGCAGTTCGGCCTTCTCGAGATCGTCTTTCTCCTCTTTTACGGCAGGCTCTCTCCATCTCCCTCTTCTCTGCTTGCTCTCCTTCGAGTCGTCCACCACACCGAAGTCGGTCGTCGCCAGGCCAATTTGGGATTCTTCGACAATGAAGCCACAGAGACGCTGGAATGCGTCAGCCATCTGCTCGTCCTCATCGCCGTCGAGTTGCTCTCGCTAGAAGAGGTCATGGACGGCATCGACTTGGAAGACGCTTCCGACTCGCACATCTTCAAACACCCGCAAAGTCTCGAAGAGGCCCTCGACCTTCTCAGCAATACCTCAGCCGATCCCCTTCAGGCTCCTATCCTGCTCGCCTGGGCCCTCGTTCTACACCGTCTTGAAGATGCTTTAGCGGCCCTCTTCGACGCCTCTGAACTCGACTCCTCCCGTTCAGTCGCCGACTCTGCAGCTCAACTTGCAAATGTGATCAGGACCGACGATGGCGGTCCGCCCCTCTGGAGAAGGTTGGCCCAAGCTGCCTTCGTTCCCGAGCTTCGATTGTTCGACACACTCATGTCTTTGCTCGCCTCACCCTTGCTAACCAGCAGCAACGGCGCAAGCACTCCCGCTGTCGCAGGCCCATCCGCTCTCGCCTACCGTGCCGTCTTCAAGGGTCTCTTGCTCAGCATCACAGAGCTTGTCAAGCCCGAATTCCTGCCCAACTTCAGCGCTCTCGTCGCTCTTTGGGAGGCCACTTTTGGCTCCGGCCTCGCGCTTCAGCTGAGCCAGACCGCCATCGATGGCGTTGCGGCCCTCTGCGATCAGTTCTGGCAAGTCGACAGCAGGTACGAGTCAAGATGCACCACTTTGGACACCGCCAGACGCAGATGGCCCATCAGCTTCCGTCCGTTGATCCTCCTCACAAAAGCCCTCTCTGGACACGCCAGGGTCGACGCACAAGCCATCTGGCCCTCTCTCCTCGACGGTCGCATCCGCCAAGAGGCTGAAGAGCGAGCCTGCGCCGCTGTCTTTGACTACCTTGCCAACCTTCCAACCTTCGCTCAGGTTCTTCCGATGGCGGCCAGCACCCCCAACGCGCCGTTTGAGACCATGGAAGGTGGCGACTACACTTCGGTCACCTATCGCATTACGCGAACCATGCGCATTCCAGGCACGCAGATCCGTCTCTCGCCCGGCACGACCGGCTCCACCATCTCCGAGCTCGGAAAGGAGCCTGTTATCGTCCTGTGGAGCCCTGCACGCCCTATTAGCGCGTGGAAGCTCATGCGCGACGTCCTCTCGTCTTTCCCGCCGGCTTACGCAGAGATCCACACCAGCCACAACGATGCCGATCCGTTTCGCGATCACATGCAGGCTGTAAATTTTGCCCAGCTTGCCCCTGCCGCCGCCGATGAACCGTGGGAGGAGCTCGCTTCTGACATGCTTGACCTCTTCGCAAGCGTCATTTCCGCTAGCGCAGATCTCGCATGGACGCTGCTCGCCCATCTCGATGGTCGCGACATCAACGCCGACGAGCTTTCCCTCGATTACGAACCAGAGGAGCTCGAGCAAATCCAAAAGGAGAAGGAAGAGCTCGCGAACGCAAAGAGTCTCTCCTCCATTGCCGTCACCCTTCTGTCCCACTCACTCGTGGCGGCCCCCATCAACATTCGTCTCGTTCGATCCGCCTTGCGATTGCTCACGGTGCTCCTGCCTTACGATCCTGACGCTGTATGGCAGGAGGTGCGATCTTCCAACGCTCTCATCGGAAGCCCCGGCGCCATACCGTACCTCTCCAAGGGCGCTGCTGGCGCTGGTGCATCTTCAGTGTCGGCGCTTCTCAACCAGGAGACCGCACGCGCCTCGTACGGCGGCCTCATCTCGTTGCTCGACTTCCACATCTCGCTCTTCTCAGAGCTTCGCAGATCGTATTCTACCGCTTCCGCAGACGCGCTGGAGATCAAGACCAGCGTGCTCCTCAGAGCCTACACTTGGCTCTTCGAATGCGTCTGGCCCGAGTATCAGAGCTGGCGATACGTCCGTTTGGCAGACAGACTCGAAATCGGCACCAAGTGCACTCGACTCCTCCACATGGCTCTCGAGGAGCGCAGTTGGCGCCTCTCGCCCATGCCCACACCCGACCTCGTCGACGAAGCCGGACCAGCCGCCGCCCTTGTCGAGGCCGCAGAAAGGAGCTTGGTGAGCCATCCCAGCATCAACGGGCTGGCGCCTATAATCACTTGCATTGGCACGGGCCAGCAGCTGCTCGATGCTCTCAGCAGGGCTGGTAGGCAGACTGACGCGATCCTGGCCGAGGGTTGGGTCCTGTCTGCTCTACGCCTTGCAACTCTCATCGTCTCGCGCCGGCGCGAACTCACACTGGACGCTCTGCGCGATCTCTCGACGCTGCCGGCGGAGACGGCCAAAAAGGCTGTGTCCGCTCGGATCAACATGGGTCTCTTCGAACGTCTGTTCTTCGATCATACCATCGTCGCCTCTCGGACTTCACTGGTGAGTGGACGCAGGTCAAATCGAGTCGAGCTTGCCAGCGCTACGTTCGCCTATGTGCTGTTCCCCACGTCCACTTCCGTCAGCTCCGAGGCGGCTCACCTTGTCACCTCGGTGCTCAGGACGGCCGCTGACCTTGCCTCAGCAGGCAAATCGGTTCCCGGACTCATCGGACACATGGGCACGCTTGAAGAGCTCGAAGCGACGCTCTCTGGCTTGGTTGACCTGGTTGCCAACCCAAATCAGGACTTTGCTCTCAAGGTACAGGTCTGGACAATGCTTGCGGCCATCGTGGATACACAACCAGCTCTGGGCACGCTCCTGTTGACCGGACGCCACCTTGCCATGACGACAGAGATCCGACTCAACAGGTCAGAGAGCGATTCAGCCTCCAAAAAGTCTACATCTGCGGTAGGCGCTGGCGCTAGCGAGTCGACCAGCTCAAACACAGGCCGAGCACTGGAAAAGACCGCGCTCGATGTTGCTTCCGAGGCCATCCTGTCCTGGAAAGCCGCATACAACGGCGTTCCGCAGCTGCTGGAGGCTGTGCTGCGATTCCTCGACGTGGCTTGGATCCACGCCTCGGAGCACGTTGCTGCATTCGACACGATTCGTACAAACTCGGCCTTCTTCCGTGCTTTGGCGGACGTGATCTGTGAAGCGTCCGAACCTCCTTCGACTCTTGCCGATGGCTTTGCCGATTCCGAGTCCGCCTTACACGCCACCAATGACTTTGAGGTATCTGCCTACTGCTACCGCAAAATGTGCCAGGCGCGCTCCCTCCGGCTTCTCCAGCACGACATCCAGTTGGGCGGTTTCCTTAAGGACCAGACCAAGGGCGATTCACCTAGCAAAGCCAGTGTCGAGGCTTTGGTCGACATTATGACGTCCTCGCATCGATTGCTCACATCAGTCGAGAAGAGTTTCGCGATGCCATGCGATCCTTCGATGCGCGTGACCCTGGAGCGCAAGCTGGCGGAACTCTTCCCGACCATCCCGCTCGAGGCCGTGCGCCATCCATCACGCAAAGACGATTTTGACCTCGACAAACGCTATGGCGACAACTACCACTTCAGCGCCTCGTCCTTCCGAAACAACGCAGAAGGTCGCATGCTCGACGGCGAGTTCGGCGGTGATCTAGCGCTGATCGAAGAAGGATTGCTTGCCGTGTATACCATCAACATGGAGTGGAGTCTCATCGATGTGCAGAACTCGGTGCTTCAGGCATGGACGCAGTGCATCGAGATGTGCATGGGCCGCATCGTTGCGCAGTCACTCAGCAAAAACAGCACGTCTGCGCTCGAAACGGCCGTCATCACGGGGTGGACTCGTCTCGCAACGCTCGCTGCGGACGAAGGCCGAGAAGGCGACTTCATGCGTGGTGTTCACTCTACCCGACTTGCGCTTCTGACCAAGTTCATGGAGCTTGCATGGGGTTATCGCGGCAGCAAAGAATCGTCGACGGCTGATCAGGTCGTCCAGGCTGCCACACTTTGCGGCCGTCTTGTGACACACCCCTTCTTCCGCGTCGAAGACAGTCTCAAAGCCGCTGTGCCTCCCGAGTTCCATCGCGACGTCTTTGAGATGGTGCTAGTGTGCGTCGCTCGTATTCGAACGCTTTTGTCGTCCGAGGGAGCGATGGTGCGTCCGAACGACAAGACAATCGAGAGTCATAAAGCGCTGCATGTTTCCGTCGAGCTTTTCTGCCGACATGTCACAGATGCCCTACGTATCAAGATCGAAACGGCATTGCGGACACTGCAGACTCCCCAGCGATACCACATGGACCTGCAGGTGCTGGAAGACGACCTTGACATTCTGGTCAGCATCTTCGAAATGACGATCAGACGCGATCTCGGCGCCGAGATTGCGGTATGGTTGGCGCATGTTCAAGAAACGCAGCTGCTGCAGACGACCATCAGCCTTCTGGGACGAGCACCAGTTCTGCGACCAGAGAGCGCCAACGGTACTGGCACACCCGCTAATCCCAACAGCGCCCACCATGTCGCTTTCATGAAGCCTCTACTTTCGCTGCTCGTCGCCGTCGCATCTCAGCCATCTTCGAGCGAAGAAGTCGCTCTGCAGGGCGCAGTCAATGCGTTGGCGTCCAACATGCTCACCGATTCCCTCGAGGACGGTAAAGTATCGCCCCTGTTGCTCTCTGGCGACCCTAATCCATCTCACGAGTGCTGGAGGCTGATGCTGCGTGTCGTCGTCGATCTGATCGACAACCTCGGCGCGGGGTCCGACAACCCGAACTGGCGAGGCGTCAGTGCTAGATTCGTCGAAACCGACGTCTCTGGCTTCATCCGCGTCTACCATAAGCAGATCGACCGGGCGATGAACGTGCACGAGCTGCACGTGCGACTATCCTCGATGTCCGGCGCTGTGGTTCACCCGTCTTCGGCGAATGATCGCCTTGGTGAAGCCAAAAGCGCAGTCTCTGTCGTCAGTCTGGAGCAGCTGGAAGAGATCGAGCTCATTTCGAGTCTACTGTACAGCTTGACACGGATCGAGGCCGATCACTTCTCGCGCCAACGCTCTGCCCGATCCGACCGTGATGCTGCAGTCCCTTCGATTGTGCAGCATCTCGCCGAGACTTCGGCTCGGACTTTGCAGCCTCTTGTGCATCTGTTGCAGCATCCCAATGAGCTCACGAGCCTGCTTGGTCTGGACTCAGCAGCATCGGACGAGTCCGGCGCCGTGCAAGCAGCGGCTGCGGCCAAAATTCGCACGATCGTGTCGGTACTGATCGCGAGCCTGTGGAATCACACCGCTTGCACACTGGTCCTGTGTCGTGGCTCAGATGCTTGGCCCTCGACGGATTCCGGATGCGCAATCGTGCGGCCTACGACACGCACGAGCACTGTGCGCATCGCCACGCTGGGCACGCTCCTGGATCTCGGCAGCCATTTGACAGATTACATTCGAACCAATAAGCAGAAATTGACGACCGACGACAAGGCGCGATGCTCAGCAACGCTGGAGCAGGCCTTGGGCCTTGCAGCGAGTCAAGCAGCCATCTGGGCAGCTGGCAAGTCGAAGGAACAGGCAGAGCAGGCCAGGTTGGAACACATGGCGCGTCAAGAGCTCGACTCGGGTCTTTCCAGAGACCTTGTGTCTGCGCTGAGAGCGGCCGAAGAGGTTGCCGGCGCAGATGGCAACCTGTTCTCGCTGATCACGACGTTTGTCGAGTCCAAGCTGAATGGCTCGCACTTCTGATCGCATGTCTGACGAACAGCATTTCGATGGCTTCGATGTCCTCAATCCACCTTCTTCGAATTCGACCCAATTTTGCTGTTTGTGCTTCGAGGTATTGACTGTGCAAGAACGAAGAGAATGGAGTTTGCGGTCCTGCTATGTCAAAATGAAGCAGGCCCGTCAAGTTGCGCGTTGGAAACTCACACGCACATCAAGCACGGACCCGCTGCACCGTAACACCTCCTTCCATCCGCGCCACGACCATCTGTGTCGGAGGTGCGCCTGAACCGATCGTGCAATCCTCCACCTTCTTGCGGCTCGACATGACAGGTCCTGCGCTGTCGTCGTCCCTCATCCGTTCGAAAGACGGGAACGGCGTAGAAAAGGGTGAGATCACTGCGAACATCGTGTAGCGAACAGCTGGGTAAAGGTCGATTCCTGAACTGACGAGTTTGTTTTCTGGTTGGTATTTCCATCAAAGGCGCAAGAACAGATATTCTTCAATGGCGCTCACAGGGCACTTCTGTACTGCTGGGACTGCCAATCTGCGTCGACGAATGGCTCGACCCGAGTAGTAGCGCTATGATCGAGCAAGTGGTTGTACACTTGCGTGGCAAAGGTGAGTGCGTCGAAGAATTTTTGGAACGGCAGGCATACGGCGCTGATCGTACGTGGCGCTGAACTATTCATCACGTCAGAGAGGGACGCATCAGCTGCTTGGGCCGACATGGCTGCAGCACGATCCCGTGTGCAACACCCGCCAGGCAGTACCCTCGTCGTCGCGCCTCAATTTGTAAGTCGATGCTGCAGTCCCCTCCTTGAGTCGCGGTTCTGTGACTGACAGCTCGTCGGATCGGCAAACACAGTTCAACCGTCTCGACAAGGCGAAAATCCAAGCTTCGAGCTTTTCTGGATTGCTTGTCTGGAAGGCGAATGGTGTAAGTGTTGTCGGGTAAATGCCTCAGCTGCCATTGATTCGGAGCTGATGCGAGCGCAATGCTTTCTGTCTGAGATCAGTGGGGAGAAGGAGCTCTCTCCGTTCTTCCAAAAGCATCGGAGGGTGTATCGTCCTTCGAAGTTCTAGACAGGATCCTGTGTCACTTTGCCGATCGATGGTCGTATCCGCTGCTGAAACGGATTGTCTTATGTATGTCATCCTTGTCTTCTGTGTTGGATTCCGACGAAGAAACACTGACGTTGAACTTGTGCGAACAGCCGGACACAGCTTGGGCGCGCAACTCGTGCATCGATACTCGATCCTCGGCTCACCACCCCTATCACCTCACCAAAGAGAGTGCGTCAGCATAGGGTTCGTGGTGATGAACCCCGCCAGCTATCTCTACTTCGATTCTGATCGATCTGGACCGCATGCTCCTGGTATGAACGTATATAAATGTAGGTGGGTCGGATTCATGTGTAGGAGCCGCGGTTCTGTCCTGTAGGCTGAACATGTCTTGCTGTCGTATGCACGTCATCAGACGGTTTTGAAGAACTTTCCACCAAGATCCCCTCCTATCCAGGCATCCAAGAACGTCAAGACCCGCACTTCTACCTGGCTCGAATGCTTCGTGAGCGGTACATCCACCTGATCCACGGTGAAGCAGATCTCGGTGTCGGAGACGATCGACCGGAAGCCATGGCCCAAGGTACGTCCTCAATTCGAGCTTAGATCGAAATGAGAGGTGTACTGACACCGATCGACACGTTCATAATGTCTCTAGGAGCGCATCGACTTGAACGAGCTCGAAACTACCACGCTCATCTGTTCCAGATGGAGACGAAAGTCGACCAGCTCCCATCAGTTCGCAGGTGGACCATTGATTGGGCTCCAGGTGTCAAACACGACGGGAGAGCAACGTAAGTCCCCTGCATTCCAAGGCAACGCTCTTTCGGATCACACTGACTGGCTTTGTTTCTGTCTTCACCTCAGGGCCACCTCAGACGCTGCAATCGCCAGAATCTTCCCCAACAGCAGCCTGTGAATACCTTGCACTCTTCGCATTACATTCACGCAAAGTTGACAATGATACCCAAGGTAAACGGCAACCTAGCATCAGTAACAGTGATCTCGTCTCCCTCCTTACACACGTCCACGAGCTTCTTTTCCAAATTCGGCCTTGTCGCCTGTTCGAGCTGCGGTGGTGCTTGAAAGTAGAGCGGCTTGCCAGCCAGCGACAACGAAGGCTTTTTGATCTGCAAATCGGCCATCTCGCCCAACCGTTCGATGAGCCTCTCTACGGTGTCTTCTGAGCTGAAGGACATGTTACGAGCCTCGCCACCGCAAACGGGACAATCGGGTCGCTTTTCGTGCTCGAACGTGTACGTGTACACGCTGTCGTTTCCCGTAAACATCATGTAGTTGTTGAGGAAAGGTGCGGCGGTGGTCGCGAATTTGAAAGCTTCGAGGACGCAAGCAGCAGCGATGATGGCGTTGGTGGAAGCGATGGCGGGAATGATGTTTTTGACCACACCTTGAGTCAGGTTCCACGTGACTCCGGTGATGCCGAACGAAGCAGCTCGAGCGGATGCCTGATCGAAGAGCCAAGAGATGTGATCCGGATTGTCGTTGTCGAGCTTCTTGTCTCCAAAGACGCGGGGCCATTCGAGAACGCTGGCCCATTCGATGCAGTGTTCGGGTAAGCGTGGTGTGTTTGCGATGGTACAGATGGGATAGGTGGTTTGTTTGTTGAGCATGTCGAGACTGCATTCATAGCACGAGGTGATGGTGGGGAGGATGACGCGCGCTTGACCTTTGAAGCCTTCGGTTCCGCCATCGATGAGCGGTTTGAGGGAATCGGGATCGTCGTCGTCGACCATGTTGACGAGCGTAGCATTGATCCATCTGCGTGCTTCTACCGAGTCTAGACCGCAGATGATGATGTTGAATTGCTTGTAGTATGCTTCGTCCTTGTCCTGAATCTTTCCGTGGTACGGAGTGATCTGGACGCCTGGTACGCGGCGCTGGACGAACTCTGCTGCGACTTGTGCTTTGGAGCGGCCTACATCCTTTTCGCGGAAGAGGAACTGTCGGTTGAGATTGGAGACGTCTATTGTGTCCATGTCGATGATGTGGATGTTGTGAAAGCCGCTGAGCGCGAGATTGGAGAGGATCTCGCAACCGAGACCGCCAGCGCCGATGACAAGGATCTTGGATTGGGTGCGGAGAAAGTTCTTGACAGCTGCGCCGGCCTGGAAGGCATCGTCGGTGGACGGACCTGGTTTGTCGAGGACCCTGTCGACATGATCGTATCTGCGTGACCACTGCAGCATGTCTGTGAGAGTAAAGTCGAGGCTGGGTATTGGAAGAAGATGTCGTTCGGAAGATGAGGAAAATTGACGTTGAACCCTGTTCGAGTGGAGGCTTGACTCGGCTGCAAACGGTCCGTGCCATCTCGAGCTCAGTTTCAATTTTAATTATACAGGGAAAGAGGTGACGGCCTAACAGAGTAAGTCCGACAAGCACGCGCCCCGGTCCGCAGCAAGCGGCGTGTAACGTTGGTGCGGAGTCGGCAACGAGCGTGTTGGTGCAGCGATGCGTGATCAGCTGGTAGGGGAATGTGCTCGAGTCGGGACGCGGATCACACGATGGAGAGAGGGACAGGCAAAGCCGAAGAGACCATGTTTCGGCTAGAGACGCACAACATGGTCCACGGAGTTCTTGGCATGCAATCAAAGCAGACGGGAAGACGCTGCATAGCAGAGGAGTCCAGCCGGCAGCATGGGCTCTGTTTTGGTCGAGCCGATGTCAAGCTGTCGTGAAAGATGGCAAAGCTTGGCGCGGGAGCCATTTGGCAGCAGGCTTAACACTGCATTGCAAGAGGCGGGGTTCGTGTCAACGGTCTAGAAGCCAAGCCGAGCCTACTGTACTTTCCGGTCCGACTGCATCGCGTGCTCACACTTAAGCTAGCGGCCCAAGCAAGGTACGGAAGAGAGGGAGAGAGCAGGAACTTTTGATTCGATGCAGCGACAGAAGCCACCATGCATCCTCGCTCTGCAATCCAATCTAGCTGAGCCGAGCAGCCGTTGGAGCTAGTAGTGTGTAACCGGATCCGCGTGTTGTGTTGTTTTCTTTTCTTTTGTGGAACGTGAGGAATATTCCACCGGACATGCCAACTGACAGCTTGGCAAAATATTCCCGACCACATGTTTCATCTGGTGCCTTCATTTGCGCTTGGCTCCCCTTACCCCCCGCAGAACTCACAAGCCTTTTGTGCGCAACGCTAGTCAAGGTTGCCGAGCAAACCGGTTAAAGTTTCGACAGAAGTGTCATGAAGGCTAGCCACGAGGCGAGTGAGCAATCAAGTCTTTGACACTCGACACTGAACAGCAGGCGTGATCGTTGCAGGCACAGGGTCGACATTGAAGATTCGGGGCCGAGAGGCAAGCACCCGCTGAGAGGAGGCGCGGAGTTCCGGTTACAAAGTGTCAAGCAAAATCAACAAAAAAAAGGGGCCGGGAAGAATCACAGCCTAGTTGGGAAGCGATCTGCAGATGTGGCTTGGGCAGGCGGCGCGGGACCCTAACCTCGATCCTTGCTTTTCTTTTTTTCTTGTTCCTTTTCTTTTTCATCAATTTCACTGTTTCAGTGTTTGCTGTTGTGCTGACCCAATCGCTGCAGGAGTGCATCATCCTGCCATCGAGCTTTGTTTAGGGCTTCGCTCTGCATGCGAGAGGCGGGGGGAAGGCTGACGAGAATCATCGGCCGTCTCACCATCTGGACCTGCATACCCGATCTATTCGAGCTCGCCATTTCCCAACATGACTGGAACATTGCCAAAGAACAAGCCGCAGCCAAGCCGGAACCAAGTGCAAGGTATGCTTGTTCCAACGGAAACTTGGCCTCCATGCAGGCACCGACTGCATTCAATTAGACAAGGTCCTTGTTTGTGGTCGCATCCTGGTCGTTGTCCTCATCACCTACAGTAATTGATGCAGTGCAAGGCGACGGCAGAGAGGCTTGCAGAAGGATGCAGGCCTGTACAGGCTGCAGTGCAGTAGCTTCATGTCGAGATCCCGCGTTCCTCTCCTCTGGACTTGGCGCCGTCAACGTGATGGCATCGTGGGAAAAAAAAAAAAAATAGGGTCGCGAGCTGTGCTTGTTTCAACCAGAGACTGAGACTGTCGCGGCCATTCGCTTCGATCGACACAAGATTTTCCGCTGATCGCTGCTCGACTCGCCCACGACGATCTCGCTTACCGCCAGCTTGGGAATCGCGCAGTTACTTTGTTCATCCAGTGTCCTAATCCTCCCCCTTGGTGCGAGGTATTACTATCACCTCACCGTCAAGCTGTGAGCTCGAGTTCGCGCAAGTGCTTGTGCAGTGTGCTGTACAGTGTACAGTACTACAGTATCATGTTGGTGCTCAATAGGGGCGTTCTGATGCAAGCCGGCTCGCCTCGTTTGCTAAAAGTGTAATGAAATTCGAATATTCAGAAAATCAGCAAGATTCCTCAAATCACGCGGTGCGATCGCTCGGCGGCTCAGTTCATCGGAACTGCGAGACGAGGCAGGCAGACTCGCTTAGGCCTGCTGGTGTTTTGAGAGAGGCGCCGCTCCTCCGGCTCCGTTGGATTCGCCGTCACGGCTTTGTTTTTCCGCTTGGGTTTTTCTGAAACGGCCCCCCCACGCTGCCGCTTTGTGCGAGCGTGTGCAAACTTGGAGGAACCGTTGCCCCTGTCACAGTGCGCCTTTCTAGCGGCACAGAAGCCTGCCGCTCCTCGTGCTTCGACGCCCAGCCAAGCCTGTCTTGCGTCGCCCAACCAACGGTTCACCTCCGTCCCTGCGTCGGTTTCGAGTGTGAGTGCCACTCACTAGGTGACCTGCCAACAGCAAAAGAGTCAAGCTGGGCTCGTTTGTGCTTGTGCTACATCCCCCTTGCACCTACCTTGTTCCTCCTTCATCTATCCCTCCTACCCTCGTCTTCATTCGCTTTCCCTCCTTCCCGTCTTTACCCTTCCCTCATTCTACTACATCGCATTCGTCCCCACTCCATTGCCTTGCACCTTCTCTCTTCCTTTACACTGACGATCTGAGGCGTATTCTCCCTACAAAAAGCGCACTCAGCTTCGCATCTTGCTTGGTACAATTCAACACAGTCGACTGCTTTCGTTTGGTCTATCCTCTACGCTAACACAAGTCGCATCCCGTTACTCGAAAGGAAAGAACCATCAGTTTGGAATACCGAGTTCTTGCTTAAAATAAGCCAACCATCATGCCGAAACGATCGTCACAAACAACGCCGAACCCAGGCTACTACAGTCCAGACCCCATGACTCCCACCTTCTCTCCTCCTGGCGAGTACACCGAGTTTCAGACCCTCCGTCCCGATACTCCAGGAAGCATGGGTCGATACTCGGTCGTCAGCAGCCACCTTGACAAGTACGACCGCGAGGGGGCACTCACCCCTCAAGCACAGGCGCTACTGCCCTCGGACGAAGCAGGCGCCGGTCACCGATCCAGCACCTACTACTTTGAGAAGGACGCCGCTGCTGGCATTGCCGGCCCCGAGGCCCTTCACCAATACACCGGTCGACGCGGCCAGGGCTACAACCCCGCCGCCAACGCCGCCACTCTCGAGGGCGGTCTCCCAGCCAAGAAGCGTGCCGGCTTCATCCGACGTAGACCCATCCTCTTCGGTCTCCTCGTCTTGCTCCTCCTCGTCGCCGCGGGTGTAGGTGCCGGCGTCGGTGTCTCTCAATCACACAAGTCCAATGACAAGAACCTCTCCTCCAACAGCGGCAGCAACAACAACGCAGGCTCCTCCACCGGATCCTCCTCCTCGTCCTCCAACAACAACAACCAAGGCAGTGGTACTTCCACCGCGCCCGCTCCTCCCAAGATCACACCCTTCCCCAAATACAGCTGGACAGACGTCAACACAAAAGCCTTCGGTGTCAGTCTCGGCTCATGGCTCGTTCTCGAGCGATGGCAACTCGAGGATTGGATGGTTCAACAGGGCGGTGCAAACGCCTGGGATGAGTGGAGCTTCACCCAGAACCTTGGCAACAACGCCGCTTCCGTCCTTCAGCAGCATCAAAATACCTGGGTCACCGAGGCCGACATGGACACGCTGCAAAACAGCGGTATCAACATTGTCCGTATCCCCATTCCCTTCTGGGCCTTTATCCCCACCGTTTCCGGCGAGCCGTACTACAACGACATGACCGTGTACCAGAACCAGCTGGACAAGATGCTTCAGTGGTGCTACGACCGCGGAATGTACGTCATGCTCGATCTCCACGCCATGCCTGGTTCTCAGAACGGCGATCAGTCCTCGGGCCACAACACCACCAACATTCAGTGGTTCACTCAAGCCAACCAGGATCGCTCCGATACCTTTGTCAAGAACGTCCTCTCTTGGGCTACCGGCAGCAACCTCAGCTCCATCATCAACGCCATTGGTGTCGTCAATGAGCCTCGCATCCTCATCGACAACGGTTGGAACACGATCAATCAAACTCGCTTCCAGACCACCCAAAGCTTTTACGAACGCAGCTACCAGGCCTGCGTCCAGGCCGGAATCCCCATGACTTTCCACAACGGTTTCGCGCCCGGCTCCGTCACGGACAAGATGAACACCTGGAGACCTTTCATCAGCGGAAAGAACCCCAACATGCTCATCTACGAGGACCACCCTTACCCGGGCTGGTTCAGCACGCCGGAGCCCAGTGCGGACCAGATCCAGACCTCGGTTTGCGAGTACGGCTCTGCAGGCAACTCTCTTGGCATTCCCATCCTCATGGGCGAGTTCTCAGCGATTCAGAACGTCGGCTCGGCGAGCTACTCGAAGACCTACCTCCAGATGCAGCTCGCCACCTACGGTTGGTCGGCAGGCTCCATCTTTTGGAATTTCAAGGCCAACTCGTCCACCACGCAGGTGCTCGCCTTGTCTGACAACCTCATGCAGCTCTACTCGTACGTGGACTTGCTTCAGGCTGGCACCATGCCCAACCCAGGAAAGGGCGGCAACGTCCGCAACTTTTACACCAACCTGCCCAACCCATGCGGTGGCTTCCAGACCTACGGCTGGGCAAACCCTGCACAGTAATCTTCAAGACTCACTAGGACATTTTGTTGCTTTCGTTTTCACATTGCTTGGATTATTTGTTGTTGAGGAATCGGAATTGTTTTATTGCATTATCAAGTTCAAAGGTCTTGGTCGTGAAAGGGTTGTGGGAGTGGGCCGGTTGGATGGTCCGAGTGTGTGTTGGTAGCGTGTGTGCGTTCGCTGGGCGATGCGAGGTGGGGTTTGGATTGGCGGATGAGAGCTATCGATGGAGAACGAGGGGGACGATGTCGCAGAGGCACAGCTGGGTTGTGGAAGGTCGGATCTTCAGTGAAGTACGAGTGTCGTGCTTGGGTGATCAGACCTCAAACACAAGCAGCTTGCTTTTTGCAGACCCGAAAGGCGACACAATGGTCGGAGGGAGACACCAAAAAAGAGATGATTGCGGAAAAATGTGTGACAGCTGGCAAGATGCGAAGAGGAGTCAACCCCTTCCGTCACCTAGCGAAGGGAATATCATTGGTGACCTCCTGCAGCTTGTCGTACAGCACCGCCCTCCTGTTACCATACGCATCCTTGACCAACCACCTTGCATGCTCCGCCGCCTCCCGCTCCCCCAACTCGGGCTTGAACCTGTCCTTCAACCGGTCGATCGTCGGCATACCCTTGAAACTCGGCAACTCGGTACCCAACATCAGCTTGCACGTATCGACAATCTCTGCGCAGTACGGTCTGCACGCCAAAAACGCTTTCACGACCAACTCTTCGAACATCCTGAAACCTTGACTTCCCGGTCCACCCATGACGTCGATCATCTCGTGGCTGAGTTTGAAGCTGTACGGTTCGAAGCGCATTCCACCGGGACCGATGTCGAAGAGGAAACCAAAGTCGATGTGCACCAGATGTCCGTCTCCGTCGATCATCATGTTGCCGTTGTGTCGATCGCGGATCTGGAGGATGTGGCAGACGACCGAGTAGGCGGCCATGGATTGGATGAAGTTCATGCGGGCGCGTTGGAAGGCGATCGAATCCGGATTTCCGTACTTGCCGATGAAGAACGTAAGCAGGTGGTTGATCTTGGCCCGACCCATCTCGTCACGCGAGGTGGCGTTGGGTACGACGTCGATCACACCGCATCCCGGACCCGTAGCCGTAACTCGGTATGGATTGAGGTACAGATCGATACCCACCGTGGTGTAGACGTTCTTGAACATGGCGATCACCTGCAACGCCAGCACGTCCTGTCGACAGTCGTCGCCGACCTTGAAGATCGCCGCCTGCCAAACATCCACGCCCGTCTTCTTGGCCGGCGTATTCTCATCCCCCTCATCACCGGGCTTGACAATCTCGCGGTGGACCTTGAACGTCGCCATGAACGGCGCTTTCGCATGACTCTGCAACGGCCTACCGGACTTCCTATCCAGATCCACCACCACACCATCGGCGTTCGACGGCAGGTACACGCCCGGATCCACCTTGATCTTGGCCATCTCCTCGTCGATCTTGGCCTTCTTCTCCGGCTTGCTCTTCTTGATGTACGGCTTCAGCTTGCCCGAGATCGACGTCACCTCGTTGAAGAATCCAAACTCGCGCTCGTAGAAGTCCTGCGCCTCACCCGAGAGCGCCGAAACGATGTTGTCCACCATCCGGTCAAGCGTGGGCTTCATCGGGTCCTCCTCTTCGGCGTTGTCGTCCTTGTACGAGTTGGCCTTCATGTTCCAGATAATCTGGTGGCAGAAGAGCTGCGAGATCTTGGACGTCTCGAAGATGAACTGCTCCACGTAGCCGTACTCGTCGGTGCGGAGGGCTTGCACCACCTGGGGGACGTAGAAGAAGGTGAGCTCGACCGGGTGCTGTTCGAGCGAGCGCATGGCGTACTGCAGCACCAGCGGGTGGTTCTCGTACTCCGGCTGGAAAAGGTCGATCGCTTCCACGGGCGAGACGGCTGCCCAGTACTGCAGCCACTTCAAATCGCAGGACTCCTTCTTGGCCAGCTTGAGATGGTCTTCTAGCAGATACTTGAGCGCAGCCGGGTCTTCCACCACCTTGTACGGCTGACTTCGGATCAGTCGTCCCAGCGCACCCTTGAGCGCCTTGGATTGGAATCTCGATCCCAGCTGAACCGCAACCACCGGACTGATGCGCCAAGCGGACTCGACGAACCCGCCCCAGCTCGTCTCGGTCATCGACTTGCTCAACGCGCCCACAAAGTCGCTTCCCCTGCTGCTGTTGTTCAGCGGGTTAGCCCAAACGGACAGCCTCGACACCTCGTTCTCCACCAGCAGCTGCAGCAGCCTCTTCTTCTCCGCAAACGACCTGGTCGCCTCCTGCAGCGTCAACCCCCCGGGCATGCGGACCGAAGACAGCGTCGGCGGGAAGCTCGTCACGTGCTGATCGGCACGCACCACATCGCGCTGCAGCAGCTCGAGCGTCTCCTGCAGCACCTGCATGTCGGCGCTCAGCTGCAAACGGTTGCCACCAAACGACCACTGCGCCGTGCTGCTGAACCAGCCGTACCCGAGCCTGTACAGCGCCTCGCGCAAGTGATGCTCGACCAAGCCTTCGAGCTGGCTCGTCTGGATCAGGCGGAAGCCAAAGTTGAGCAGCGTGAATCTGGCTTCTCGCGACAGAGGGTGCGTACTCATGCGGTCCACAGCAGCTCCCGAGTGCTGCAGCAGTCGAACCAGCGCAAGCACCATGGTAGGGTCGCGGTACCGGAACGCCTGGAACCTGCTCGAGATCAGGTGAATGAGCGAAAGGTGCGGCGTGAACAGACGCGTCGCCTGCTCCTGCTCGGCGGTGATCTCTTCGCGGTTGAACGCGCCCATCTCGGTCTTTCGCAGGAAGGGATGCTTGGTGGTCAAACCCGACGAGAAGATACCCTTGCGAGCCTTTGCCGTCATGGCCCAGCCGATGGTGAGCTCGACCATGATCTTGGTCTCGACTTCGGGTCGAGCACCGATCACCCACGTCCATACCGAGCAAGCCGTCGAGATGGCCTCGGGCGTGAAGACGAGGAAGGGGATCGAGACGATAAAGTGCAGAAGCTCGTAGTCCGGCTCCGGCAGCGCAACCACGAGCGCAGCGGTGCGGTAGAGCAGTCGACGAAGCTCGGCCAGCGGAAGCACCTTGCGTTTGGAGCCCACCTCATTGGACAGAGCTGCCAGCTGTTCACGGCACTCGGCCACGCTTGCAGGCGACATGGTGTTGGTAGGATCCTCCGACAGCTCCACCAGACCCTTGGTAAGCGCCAGGTGGATACCGGTCATCTCGCCCAGGTACGTGCTCTTGGCCGAAAGCTCGCCGATGAACGAGCTGCTGGCGTCGGATCGCCAACCGCCTGAGTTGGGCAGCGCACGCTCTTTGCGAGCCGAAACAGGCATGCTACGCGCATACTCGAGCGCAACACTCTTGCCGAGCTCGCTGCGGTCCGGCAGGATCGAGTCGTCAAACGTGCCGAGGTATCGCTCCAAGATGCCCTGCAGCTCCAACGGCGCCAGCGCCAGAATGAGCGAGAGGTACTCGCGCGACTTGGCGAGGAACTGCGAGAGGATCTCGTTCCTCTGCGTATACGAGTCGGATAGGTCGAACTCGATGTTGGCGCGCTCCGACACGTACCGATACTGTGGAGCAAACTCGTCCTTGTATTCGGCCTCGCAGCCGTCGCGAAGAAGCGTAAGGATCTCGAGCATGGTTGTCACCACATCCTGATCGCACAGCAGCGACGGCAGCGCGTAAATTAACTTGTTGAGGATGCTCTGCGAGACCTGACGCACCTTCGCCACGCGATGGCAACAACCCAGCATGAGGCTCTTGACCTCGTTCGCAACGCGTGGATCCAACAGGTGCCTATTGACCTGCGTACCGAGATCGCGAATGAAGAAATCTATTACCTTGTCGGCGATGGCCTGCATAGCTCCCACCAGCGCGCTGCTGTTGAGACCCTCATTCGTGAAGTACGATAGCACCATCGAGGGTCTTCCCATCCGGCTGCGCAGGCATTCGAGGTCGTAGATGGTGGACAGGAACGTGACTTGAGCATAGCTGAACGAGCGCACGTCCGAGGCATGCGTAGGGATGACCGCGCTGAGCGCCTTGCGCTGCGAGTCGAGCGTCTGGTTCGAGAACTCGCGCTTGAGCACCGAGTTGTACTCGAGATCGCTCTCGAGGTAGTTGTGCGCAGACTCGGGCACCAGGGTGGGCGTCTTGAGCGAGATGGAGCTGAGCGCCTTGCCGACGATCTCGGCCTGCGCCTCGGCAGCCGACGAGGGTCGCGACACGGCGTTACCGTCAGCAGTAACGCTGGCACGAATGTTGTTCGGCGAAGCAAAGCCGAACAAGACCGAGAGGAACCACATGTTGCGGAAGAGCGACACCATCTCGGTGGTGGGCTGCACCTCGGGCTGAATATCCTTGTGCTCCAGAACCGCCGCGATGGCTGGAAGAAGAGTGGCGAGATCCGTGTTGAGCTCGGCGAGCTCCTCTGCGCTGCTCTTGCCGGAAGAAGCGACCGTCTGCAGCTGCATGCCCTTCTCGGCGAAGAGCTGAAGCAGCTCGACGAGGAAGATCTCCTTGCGGCCGCCGGTGGCTTCGTTCTCGTCCGACGACGCCGAATCGCGCTCGTCGCGTTCGTCGAGACGACCAAGACCGCGAGCCAGCTTGAGCTGAGCGGACTCAACAGCGACAGCCGCACGACGGTTGGCACCACCAGTAAGCGCGCTCCTCGAGACGGCAGAGAGGGCTCTGACGACATCGATGTAGGCGCTGCGCGGACCAGCAAGTGCCAGAGGCACGACGTTATCGAGGATGGCGGCTTCCGCGGAGACGTCGGCATTGCGAAGACGCTGGAGGAGCATCGAGATGGTGAGCGTGGTGACGTCGGGCTTGCCGACCTCGAGTGCGAGGCGCGAGATGACGGTGATGGTGCTGAGGTTGATGAGCCTCCTCTGGTCCTCGGAGCGGGCCGAGATGTTGGCCTGCGAGCCGGACATGGAGATACCGTTGACCTGGTCCCGCGAAGTGACAGCGCGCGAAGCGCCACTTCGAACGGAAACACCGCTACCAGCGACACCGCCGACGCCGAGACCACCGGGAGTGTCTCTTCCAAGATAGTTGAGCAGATTGTACATGGTCGAGACGACCAGGTCGTCGCCGGGGGCGATGGTGACGCACGAGGCGAGACAGCGAGCTGCTGCGAGCAGCACAGGAGAGCTGGCACCATGAGCATTGGGCAGGAAGATGGGGATAGGCGAAGTGACAAAGTGGCGGAGGACGCGGGTCATGGGCAAAGCCAGCGCGCTGTTGTTGCGCACAAGCACGCCGACACTCTGAAGGGCAGCGCCCTGGACACGAGGGTCGTAGATCGGGGCGCTCTCGCTGAGCAGCGAGCGGATGCGAACAAAGACATTGTTGTCGACGTTCTCGCCGCCAGCGAGGCTACGAGCAACAGAGCAGAGGGCGGAGAGCTTGAGGGACTCGGCGAGGATCTCGGGAACGTGGAGCTCGGGAAGCACCTCGAGGCTTCTGAGCCCTTCGCTGAGCAGGAAACGCTGAATGTCGTGGAAGCCCTTGTTGCTAGCTCGGAGGACCGCGTAGAGGGTGTCGTCGAGCTCATGCAGCGTGTTCTTCTCGCGTTGAGCAGAGACGACTTCGCCGAAGGCGGCCGACTTGTCGGTGCTGGAAGTGAGCGATCCGATCAGAGGCACAGAGGCAAGGATGCCGCCATTACCGTTAGCTTGTGGAGCCGAGCCGTTGCTGGCGGATTTGGCGTGACCATTGACAGCCGAGGCTGTCGAGGTCGACTTGGAGAAATTCGAGTCGATCGAGTAGCGGAGCAGCGAGTTCCAGGCCTTCTTGGTCGCGCCAGGAGCAAGGATGGCGCGGCTGGTGGTATGCTCGGCATCGTCGTGCGTATCGTCGGCATCGAGGTCGAAGCGGTCAGCCTGCGACTGGCGACTTGGATCGATGCGATCGAGATCCAGGCCGGTCTTTTGGAAGTCGGAGAAGTCCTTGATGGGAGGGCGCGCATTGACGGCGAGGGCTTGGGCCAAGGTAGTGTCGAGGATATCGATCGAGGACAGCAGCACATAGTGGCCGGAAAGAGGGACGCCAGACAAACGGTACCTGGCGAGGAAAGAGATGCGGAAATCCTGCGCATCCTGGGCCGAGGGATCGTTGTCGGCGAACGTGAATCCGCCTTCGGGTCCGACAATGTCGGCATCCTCGTCTTCGTCACCAGAGAAGAAGGTGTCGACGCTGGCTTCCGACTGGTCGTCGGTGGGTCTGACGGTGGCCACTTTGGGTGCTCGGCGAGTTGCACGCACGGCCTGCTGGCGGATGTCGAATTGGTCGTCCAGCAGCAAAAGGACCTCGTTGAGCCTTCTGACGGTCTGCACCGAGCCTATGATGGGGTTAAGGGTATCGGCGAGGCGAGCAAACTCTTGCAGCTTCCAGGCAAAGGAAGTGGAAGCGATGGCTCTGTAGAGACCATTGAAGAGAGGGACGAGCTTGACGACGACGGTGTGCGCATCGCCGGCAGTGGCACCGAGCGCGTCGCTGAGCTTGGCGGTGAGGTCAAGGATGGCAGCAACACAGCGAGCGCGGTGCTGAGGGGCGTTGATGGAGACGCGGAGGAAGCTCGAGACGAGAGCAAAGGCGAGCTGATCGGGGAGCGAGTGGTCGGACCAGCTCATCTCGTGGTCAAAGTCGACGAGGGTGAGCTGTCGAAGCAGGTGCTCGAGATCGTCGAGGACGGGGCCGAGGTGCTCATCGTTCTTGATGTCGGTGGTGTGCTCGGTGGATCGAGAGGCCGAGGAGATGGAGGAGGCAAAGAGTGCCAGGCTGATCTGGGTCCTAGCGGCCGAGGCGGAGAGGAAGAGCTTGGAACCGGTGGTGACCTTGCTCGTGGTTGCGGACTGGGCAAACACGGAGCGCACCTTGGATCTGGCCGAAGGGACGTTTGCGATGTCCTCGGCGAGGTTGAGGGCCAAGCCGTCGAGGATGAGCTGGTGGGTGGGCAGATCGAGGCTGTCCATGATGGCGATTTGAGCGACGCAGCGCTGTGCTAATGACTATGCTGTGCTGCGTTCGATGCTTCGATGGTAGATGCGTCACAGCCTGAGCGTGTTGATGATGATGGATATCAGGCTAGACTGCGATCAATCAATGATGATGATGAGAAGAAGAGGGAGGAGGGACAGGCAAAGAGCGGTGCGGGGTAAGTTCACACACACCACAAGGCGCCGTTGCGGATCAGCCGATGACGATTAAAGTTGATTGAGTGCGAATTTGTGTGGAGAAGAACCAGCGGCGGCTCAAGCACGGAGACTGGTGAGGTGCCATGTATTTTTGGGCTCTCAGATTGGAAAAAGGCGTGAAAGCACGCACGGCCGCACACACACGTTTGCGTGAAAGTCGCTTCAGTTCTCACAGCTCCACGCTTTTTCAGCGCGGGCAGCAGTCTCAAGCTCGACACAACTCGAACTATCAAGCATGATGGCCGATCGCTGTATCAACGTGGTGAACAGGGATCGGCCAAAGCGGTCTGCAAAAGATGCTACGCCGAGTTATGAGCCCGTGCAAACAAGAACAGTATTGACAGCAAGATCAAGATAGTCGCCCACGCTGCCACATTCTCTTGACAAGATATACGATGACATTGTTCAACTGTACAACAGAAGAAACACCACTCTGTTGATCATCGAAATTCAGCACTTGCAAGAAGATCCGTCCTCCATGGTCGTTTGCGCCGGCGCAGCAGTTACATCGATATCTGTTTTTCGAGAGCAAGTTCACAAGTCAGTCGGCCGATTGTCCCGTACAACAACTGGTCCAAGATCGCTTCCTTTTCTGAGCGACGAAATACTCACTCTTGTTGGCAGCAGCGCCGCCGTTGGCAGCATCCGCATCCTTGTCCATACCGGGCAACGCCTGCGCGATCTTCTTGAAGAGCACCTTGACGTTGTGCCCCGCTTTTGCCGAAGTCTCGATGAACATGACGTTGAACTCTTGTGCCTTTTTCTCCGCTTCTTCTGTTGTCACTTGTCTGCCATCCATCGCCAAAGTGAATGAAAAAGTCAGTACATGATCGGATCGAAGCAGAGAAGAGAAGTCGTGCCGTATGCTCTTACCTCTTGTCGCTCAAATCCGTCTTGTTGCCCACCAGCACGATGATGACATCGTTGCCCCTCTCCGCCCTCACGTCGTCGACCCACTTTGACGTGTTCTGGAACGACGCCCTGTTGGTGATGTCGTACACCACCACCGCTACCGACGAATCGCGGATATACGATGGGATCAACGATCGGAATCGCTCCTGTCCCGCTGTATCCCACAGTTGCAATCGTACCGTTCGGTCTTCGAGGTACATGGTTTTCGAGAGGAAGTCGATCCCGATGGTGGCCTGGTATGTGTTGTCAAAGGTGTCGTACATGAAGCGTGTGATGAGCGAGGTTTTGCCGACGGACTGCTCGCCGAGGAAGACAAGCTTGAATTTTCGCAGGGGTTGACCGAATTCGGCCGTGCTGGCCCCTGGTGCGTTGGACATGGTTTGGTGTGGTTGTGCGGATGGGCGCAGATCGTGCTGAGGAGCGATGCCTGGAAACTCGAGTAGGATGTGAAGACGTGAACGCCGATGAAAGCCTCGACAGCAAAGTCCAGCGAACGGTGCGGATCGACGCTTGAATTCAAGTCTGCCCTGAAAGCCTCGTCCGTTTCGCAACTGTTGAGCTCGACGCTAAAGTGCCTTTCAAGATCCAAGCCAGATGCCAATGCCTGATCGTAGAATGCTATCGAGGGATGACGGATGATTGCGCGATATTGAGGGAAGCAAAAGGATGATGGACGGTCTTGAAGAATCAGCGTGTGTGTGAATGTGTGTCTCTTTGTGGAATTGACACATTCGTGCCTTGGTCGGCTGCATGTGGAACGGGCCTCTGTGCCTGTCTCTCTCTCCCGTGTGTTTCCCAAACCCTTTTTCGGACAGAAATGCACCGCATGCCACAACCCGCGTGCATTCCACCTGTGTGTCCCACTATCGGCGGGCCGGTCACATCTCGTACGATCAGGGATTTTTGTTTTCCTATACGATGAGTTCCGTTTAGGTGTAACAATTACAAACTTTCCAGGCGTCATCATCTGTCGTCCTTGGGAGTCAGTTGATGATGACCATCGAGATGGTCGCTGGGTTAAGTTGCAAGAATATGTGGTGACATTGAAACCCGTGGCAAGATGAACAGCAGTGAACGATGAAACATGCGATGAACCACACTGTATATGTAAACAAGGATTGAAAAGGAGCTCTATCGTATCCATTTGTGCATCGCCCTTCGCCCTTAGTAGTAGCCTCTACGGCTCTTTTGAACTTGCACCTTGCTCGCCTGGACCTCGAAGTCTGCCTTTTCCAAATCCTCAAATTGACTGCTCGGGGTCCTACTCGAACCCTGACTCGTCTCGCCACTGCATACGCCGCGTGTCTCGATCTTGCTGGCAAGGACAGCGGTGAACTGCTTCAGGTCCTTCTCCTCCTGCGCCACCCTCTTCTTCTCGTACCTCTTCTCCAACGAGTCGCCCATGCTCCAGACCACCCACGCGCCCCACACCTGGCAGAAAGCCAATCCGATGGTGCACACCCAGTACAGGCCATCCCACGCCCTCGCCAGCTCACCCTGCGAGTGCCTCTGGTACTTGACCCACACCCAGACCGTTCCGCCGATGCTGGCGAACTTGAACACCAGGCTCTGCACCGCACTAGCACGGAAGAGCGGTCGGAGAACCTTAACCGGTGCTTCGAGTCGATACAGGAAGAGCGCTACGAACACGGTCTGTTCCGTCGTTGCCTGGAAGATCCACAGCAATCCGGTGATGGCGAAGCTCGGGTCTTGCTGACGTTCGAGCATGACGAGCGAAAGCGACATGGCGAAGCACGTGATCATGTGGTGCGAGATCATCGGATACGTCATTCGGTACCGGTAGATCAGCTCGTACAGGTACAGCGCTGCGATGAGACATGCCGACGCTCGAAGCACGTTCAACCTCCAAACGGAAAATTCGTTCTTGAGCAGCGCAGATACGCACAGCTGCAGGATGAGCGCAACCGTGGTCAGCACGATCTGCAGGATGTAGATCACCATGGTTCGTCGATGTTCCGGTTTGACGCTGGACCATCTTCGATAGCCGATGCAGCGCGGGAGGACAAGATTGTGCAGGAGGTTGGCGAGGAAGTAGAGGATGAAGAGGAGCGTGATGAAGGCGATGGGGAAGAAGTAGACCGTTTCGACCGATACTTTTTGAGAGACGATTTTGGATACCTCGGAGATCGAGGCGGGCGAGAGGTGTTTGAAGATCTCTGCTGATGGCAGAGTGGAGGCGGACGAGGCGTGCTTGAGAACCTCCGCTGATGGCAGAGTGTATTCTGACATGGTGGACATAGTGCAGTCGTTGGGAGAAGCTGATGAGATGCAGGACAGATTTCTCTCCCGAGGGCCGGAAGACTTGCGCTTGAGGAGGGGAAGAGGACAAAGGTATGAGGAGCGGGCTTTGGGTTGAGGTGAAGAACGAGGGAGTGGACTATGACCACCAACGTCTTCGGTTCTTATACCTTTTGCGAATGACAAGTTGATGGTCTCGAGGCTTGCTTCTATCTCAGTCACGTCAACCCTCGACAGCACAATGGAACAAGCGACACCCGTTGCACTGGATCGCATGAAACGCAATCTCCTTTGCAGAAGCAAGCACCGCAAGCGAGTCCGGATAGATGGCTTCGTTTCTCCGGAGTCCTACACAAGGCACACGGCGGCATCGACCCAAGGCATACCAGGGTTTTTCCGACACACCTTTCACGCCGTCTTCTTCATCGTCGCGTGAAATTGATAGCATTAAAAAAATCGATGATCTCCAGAGTGGGCCACCTGCGAGATTGATGATGCGGTGTCGGACCAATATGGTGCACGCAGCTGCCCATCGGGACAAGGGACGCATGTTTGCCATAGCCCGCGGTGCGACACGGCACACGCAAGATAAAGCACGGCTCGGGGAGGAGCGGATGTTCATGGACAGCTCGGGTAAAAAAAAAAAAAAA